TACACCAAGCTCCTATCAGCCCATCTTGTCTGCTAATACCTAATAAACAACACTTAATAGAATGTATTGCAAATTTTAATATATGTGCCCAAATACAAGGCAGTGCCTTGTTGGGCGCCTGGTGGCTCAGTCGGTTAAGTGTCTGCCTTCGGCTCAGGTCATGATCTGGGGGTTCTGGGATTGAGTCCCGCATTGGGCTCCCTGCTCAGCAGGGAGCCTGCTTCTCCCTCTGCCTCTGCCTCTCTCTCTCTCTGGTCTCTCATGAATAAATAAAAATAAAATCTTTTTTTTTTTTTTTTAAAGATTTTATTTATTTATTTGAGAGAGAGAGAATGAGAGACAGAGAGCAGGAGAGGGAGGAGGGTCAGAGGGAGAAGCAGACTCCCCGCTGAGCAGAGAGCCCGATGCGGGACTCGATCCCGGGACTCCAGGACCATGACCTGAGCCGAAGGCAGTCGCTTAACCAACTGAGCCACCCAGGCGCCCCTAAAAATAAAATCTTAAAAAAAAAAAGCAGTGCCTTGTTTTCCCAAAGAGAACTAAAAAAAATGGTTTTCGGTTGACTTCATATATATGAATAGTCAAATGTCTACTTTTTTTTTTTTAAGATTTTATTTATTTATTTGACAGAGAGAGAGAGAGCGAGAGCAGGAACACAAGCAGGGGGAGTGGGAGGGGGAGAAGCAAGCAGGCTTCCCGCCGAGCAGGGAGCCCAATGTAGGACTTAATCCCAGGACCCTGGGATCATGACCTGAGCTGAAGGCAGACGCTTAACGACTGAGCCACCCAGGTGCCCCCAAATGTCTACTTTAAGTAGTTACCAATTTAGTGAAAATGTAAGTCTAATATTATTCAGCAACACATATTCAAAATCACATGTGAAATATTTATTTAGAGAGAATGCTTTTTCACTCAAACTTTCTAACAATTCAAATTATCAGTGCCTTCGTTATCTTTCAAGCCACTTCGTTCATCAACTAGCTCAATTTACAGATCACACCATCTGCGCATATATCCAAATTGTTTGAGTTTTTTTTAATTCATACTATGCATATATATTCCTGATATCCACAGTATAACCTCTTCCTGTTGCTTTCTGAAAGGCTTACTCACAACAAGATCTAACACTTGAAACTGTAAAGTCCTAATCCAAGAATAATTCCTTAAATCTATGTTAAATTTTTTTTTTTTGCCTCCTTTTTGTTTTTAAGTGATTCCATCCAGTGAGCTCTATAAGCTTGTGGAACTAGCATGAACTGAGGTGCCTGGGTGGCTCTGTCGGTTGGGCATTTGCCTTCGGCTCAGGTCATGATCCCAGAGTCCTGGGATCGAGTTCCAAGTTGAGTCCCTGCTCAGCAGGGAGCCTGCTTCTCCCTCTGCCCACCCCCCACTCATTCTCTCAATCACTCTCTCTCTCTCTCTCTCAAATAAATAAATAAATAAAATCTTAAAAGAAAAAAAAGAACTAGTATCAGCTTAGGTTATTTCAGGATGCATCTTCCCCAAACCCTTTGACTAAAAACAAAATATACAAAACAGATATCATGGACTATAATAAGAGACTTTGTAAGAACACAAATTACAAGGCAACTTCTTTTCTGAAAAATTATTTGGAGAGGAAAAATAAACCTTATATTCAGGTATATAAGACATTTGTTCATTTCACAAATACTTAATGAGCACTTCTTGTGTGCCAGGCACTGTGCTAGGGACTAGAGATACAGGGACCTTAGAATCCCATGCGGAAGACAGTCATTAAATGTATAATGCCACAGCTAATTAATTATGATCATTTTAAGTACTTCTAAGGATAAGTATACCTAGCTACAAGACAGAGGAGTAATAGAGGAACCTAAGTCTGTGGGACTAAAAAATAGTTTCTCCAGCAGTGCTATTTATATACAGTGCAGCAGTAATTCATGTACCCCGTCTATCTGGGTGCAAATACTGACTCAAATCTTAAGGTTACTTAACCTCACTTTCCTCATTTATGAAGTGGAGCTAACAAAAATACCTACCCCATGAAGATTAAATGACTTAATACACATAAAGCATTAAGAAAAATGTCGCCACATGGTACTTGCTTAACAAATGCAGCTGCTATTGTCATTTCAGCAGGAACCTGAAAGACAAGCTGGGAGGAAGGGAAGAAAATCCAAGCAGGGGTGCTCAGGTGGGTCAGTCAGTTAAGCGTCTGACTTCGGCTCAGGTCATAGGATCAAGCCCCACATGACACTCCCTGCTCAGCACGGAGTCTGCTTGAGATTCTCTCCCTCTGCCCCTACCCGCACTGAAGCTCACATCCTCTCTCTCTCTCTCTCAAGTAAATAAATAAAATCTTCAAAGACAGAAAGAAAGAACTCTAAGCAAAGAGCTACATGTGCAAAAGCCCAGAGCATAAAGTTGCTTGGCCTACAGTAGAACTGAGAGGCCAGTGTTTCTAAGCATAGAAAGCTAAGGGGGAAAGGATACCATGAGATATGAGATGAAGCTGAGAAGATAGGCTGAGGTCAATAATGCAAAGCCTTGTAGGTCGGGTTAAGGAATCTGAACTTTATCCTAAGAGTGAGGAAACCTGAAGGGTTTTATAAAGGGGAGTGACAAGCTTAGATTTGCAATTTTCAAAGCTTTCTCTGGCTATGGAATGGAAAACTGGTTGGAAAGAGGCCTTTGGCCTCTATTTTGTAGATGATGGGGAAACCAGTAAGGAAGTTGATTCAGTCTTCTAGATCAGAGGTGGGTGGTGGCACAGAAGAGAGAAGGAAACTGGATGACTACAGAAATAGAAGGCAGAACCAGCAAGACTTACTGGGTGTATGTTGCAGTGAGGGGGCATGGAGGGAGAGGCACTAAACAATAAACATGTATTTGAGGAAGGAAGGAGGGAAGGAAGGAATTCCTGTGTTCCTGCCATATTGTTTTACTGCATGAAATGCCTTCCCTCTACTCCATCTTTCCAGGCATAATACTTTCCCATTTCCTCCACAAAACTGTCTCTCTGATTGATCTTATCCCCTTCTTCCCAGGAGTGTTCTAGAATTTTAGAGCTGAACATTCTTTTTTTTTTTTTTTTTTTGAGTTTTTTTTTTTTTTAATTTATTCATGAGAGACAGAGAGAGAGACAGGGGCAGAGGGAGAAGCAGGCTCCCCGCGGAGCAGGGAGCCCGATGCGGGACTCGATCCCAGGACCCTGGGATCATGACCTGAGCTGAAGGCAGACGCTTAACCGACTGAGCCACCCAGGCGTCCCTAGAGCTGAACGTTCTTGAGATACATAATGATTGAGAGAACTTAGACACTGCCTGAAGACAGAGATCATCTTTTAGTCAACTTTCTTTTTTTTTTTTTCTTTTAAGATTTTATTTATTTATTTGACAGAGAGAGACACAGTGGGAGAGGGAACACAAGCAGGAGGAGTGGGAGAGGGAGAAGCAGGCTTCCCGCCCAGCAGGGAGCCTAATGTGGGGCTTGATCCCAGGACCCTGGGATCATGACCCGAGCTGAAGGCAGACGCTTAACAACTGAGCCACCCAGGCGCCCCTTTAGTCAACTTTCTATCCTGCCCACCTCATCTCCCCAACACTTGTAGAGATTCTCATTACAGAACACTTTCTCTGACTTCATGAGTGGTATAGTCATAAACAGCCTATGCTAACATAAAGCTCCTTGACCCATTAAGCATTATATGGAGGTTTCACAACCATTTTCTTCTCGGATCTTCACAGAATCCTTATAAAATAAGTGCTATTACAGAGAAAATAAACTCAGAGCTAAAGTGACATGTCCAAGGTCACACACACTAAAGGAAATGGCAGTGCTAAGATTTGAACCTAGATCCTGTTTCCAAATGGAATGCTTTTTACAACTCTCCATGGAGGGTAAATATTCATATGCACTTGAGACATTAAACTCTCAGAGGCAGCTAAGTGCCACTTCTAAGAATCCTTCCCAGTTTCAGTAATTAATTAGTTTATTCAAGAATACTTATTGAGCACCAACGGGTGCCTGGATGGCTCAGTTGGTTAAGACTCCCACTCTTGATCTCAGCTCAGGTCTTGAGCTCAGGGTAGTGAAGTTCAAGCCCTGCGTTGGGCTCCACACTGGGGTGGAGCCTACTTTAAAAAAAAAAAAAAACGAATATTTATTAAGCACCTACTACATTCTAGGAATGGCACCTAGTATTAGGGGTAAGGTACAGCAGTGAACAAGGCAAGAAGGTGCTTGCCCTGTCTAGTTCAGGGAGGGGCCCAAACAAGGAAACAAATATATAAAGTGTTAAATGCTAAGTACTATAAAGAAAATATACGAGGTGCTGGGGGCAAATGTGTATCCTTAAAATGGGCATTACTTTGAATAGGGTGGTCAGAGAAAGCCTCTCAGAGAAGTGACATCTGAAACCGACCTTGGTCTTCAGGAGGCGCTTAACGGAAGGCATTTCCCCACAAACCTAGTTTGGAAGCCGGCGTCTAAAGCCAAAAGGCACTTAGCGTGCACAGGGGCCGCTCCCAGGCCTCCAACCCTGGCCACCTCACTGGCCCTGGACAGTTCCCGGCCTACTCCGGCCGCCACCACTAGAGGGCGCCGCGGATCTCCCCAGCGCCCAGGAGGGGACGCGGCCCCAGGCACTGCCACACTGACACCTGGCACCCACCGCGTCAAGGCCCCGAAGCCCGGGGTACGGATGGAGGGCAAGGGCGGCGCTAGGAAGCCCTAGGGAATCGCGAGGGATCAGCAGGCCCTCAGTGAGAGGACGTCCCCACGATCACAAATCCAACCACTGCCATACGTCCTCACTGCCTCGGGGACAGCCAGTTTCCGGCGCCTTTAAATCAGGAAATACTGGCTGCGTCCAATCCTGGTCCTTCTTTCGCCACTTAGTCTTAGCGTCGATTCTTCGCCAGGGGAGCGCCAGGCCGGCCATCTACGGATACCAATCAGCACTCAGGAAAGGCGCATGCGCCCTGGAAAGAACGTGACGTACAGTGAACTGTGACCTAAAGGCGACCTCCTCTCTCCTCCCCCTCCCTCGCTGTGAAGATGGCGCTCTCCAGGGTGTGCTGGGCTCGGGCTGCTCTGTGGGGTTCGGCGGTCACCCCCGGACCTCATGTCACCCGGAAGCTGCAACTTGTTCGCTGTGGCCTGGCCTGGGGGGCCCCTCGGTGAGGGACCTGGGAGAAAGGAAAGCGTTTCTGATGTACAGGCCTTTCCAGTGGCGCAACCTTGTTTGCATGCTGTTAATTCTCAGCGTTCCACGCCCTGGCCCCGGGGTTTTTATTCTTCTGCTCAGAACTCGCACCCCGATCGCCACTGGTGATATGGCTTCCGGACCCTCACGACTCTCAGTGCCCCATATTTTCCGTATTCCCCACGTGTCCTGAACTCCTCTTTCAGCCTCCCTTTTTCGGCTTAGGTTTTACCGCTCCTTATCTGGATCCCATCTCTTTGGCCTTAGCAAGCTGTTCAAATGGTCCCTCAGGCTTTGCTCTCCCTGCAGACTCACACCACACCCGACATTCCTTCCTGCCTGATGTCTCATCTGCCCGATGTTTTTCTCGGTCTGATTGCTTATCTGTCCTTGAGCCCAAGATCTTCCTTGGATTTCAGAAGATTCAGGTCTTAGCATACATTCTCTGAGACTGGTGTTTTACATTAGTGTAAAAGGGGCTCCAGGACTGATTCCCAGACAGTCTCTTTGATCTTCCTTGTAGGTCTTCAAAGCTTCACCTTTCACCAAAGGCAGATGTGAAGAGCTTGATCTCTTATGTGGTGGCCAAGACAAAAGTGATTAATGGGAAATACCATCGTTTCTTGGGTCGTCATTTCCCCCGCTTCTATGTCCTGTACACAGTCTTCATGAAAGGTAAAACCAAAACAGAAATCCCTTGAATCCTTTCGTGGGCAATGTCAAAGAGTTTAGAATAAGTAAGATTACTTGCATGTTCTGCTGTGTGGTGTGAGCTGGTGTGTTTTCTGTTTCATAAATGCTTGAGGGTTAAATTAGTTCTAAGTTAGCACTTCTGGAGAATGTGTCTAGAAAAGTATCATGACAATTTCTGACAACATCCATGGGGGAATATAGGTATTTTTGCATTTTTCTTAACGACACACAGCTGACTATTGTAGAAATTCTTTGACATGCACAAGGCCAGGCATCTATATGGCTTCACAGACCTGCCCTGTGATTTATCAGTTGACTTGGCCCGTAAGAAAATGTGGTCTAATGCTTGTCACATATCTGTCCTAGATAGCATATCGTGGAAACAGCACTACATATACTTATTTTCTGAATGTTTTCATTCAGATCAGAGCTGTGCTAGTTACTAGAAGATGGTATAATGACAGGTGTCCACTCTGGTGCCAGACTGCCTGGGTTCACATCCCAGCTTGTCACTGGCTGTGTGACTGGACTAGTTATTTAACCTCTCTGTCCCTTGGTTTTCTCATCTGCAAAATATGGAAAATAATAGGACCTACCCCATTAATCACATAGTTGTGAAAATTAAATAAATACATCAATACATGTAAAGTACTTATGGCCTGATCATAGTATGTGCTCAATAAACTTATCTATAACTATTATTGTACTCTATACTTTTGTTATAACAGCAATTACAATAAACTACCATGTTGTTAGCTGTGAATATTATCATGATTATTACTAGCTTCGTGGACTTGCAAAATCTAAAGTAGAAATAGAACGGCTGCTTTGTCTACCACGTTTATAACTGGGATTAAATGAGAAAAGGGTCTGGAAAAGTATTTTGGTTGGTTTGTTTTTAAGCTTTTTTTTTTTTTTTAAGATTTTTATTTAGTTTTGAGAGAGAGAGCACAAGCAGGGGGTGGGGCAGGCAGAGGGAGAAGCAGGCTCCCCACTGAGGAGGGAGCTCGCAGCAGGGCTGGAACCCAGCACCCTGGGATCATGATCTGAGCCAAAGGCAGAACGCTTAACTGACTGAGCCACCCACCCCGGCGCCCCTGTTTTTAAACTTTTAATTATAGAAAATTTTTAATGTACACAAAAATAGAATAATATGAATTTTCATGTACTCAACCTCACTTTAGCAGTTATCAACTCGTTGCCACCAGTCTCCTTTCATTTATACACTTGCCTTCTCCTGTATTATTTTGAAGCCAACCTAGATATTATATAATTTCATTCATAAATATGAAAGCATTTTTAAAAAGTAAAACCTTAGGTAAAATGTGAGAATTATCATCAGATGAACAAAGAAAATGCAATAATAGAAATATGTTGAATTACAGTATTTCTGAAAGTGTTCTAGAAAGGAGATAAGGTAATATCTCGTTGGAGACTACATAAGGTTAATTGAGCAAGATTTCCTGAGGTTAGTGAGTCTTTGAATTTTTATTTTAAAGAGGGAGTGAGTAGTGAACCAGAAGAAGGAGAGCATCCCATAGTAGATCACAGAAGGCCAACTTGGCTGGCAGAGAGGTGATGTGCTGGGGGGATAAAGAATGAGAAGAGAGATATAGGTTGGCCTCAGAAGAGTTTCAAATGTCCTAATTTAGAGCTCTGATTTAGAGTAGTGTCGGGGAGGGACTAATATGTGTGTTGTGGGTAAACATGGAGTTGGAAGCTGTGGTAAGATTCAAACTGGGATAACGTCACACTCTGTCCTCTACTTTAATGAGGCAGGATTGCAGATGATATGGGCTGATGCCAAAAAGGCTAGAAGAATAAAGACAAATATGTGGAAGCACAATATAAAGTTTCATCAACTTCCATACCGGGAGATGGAGCATTTGAGACAGGTATGGGCCAGGGGCAGAGATCAGAAGTCCATGGTGAGGTAACTCAAGTTAACCAAGATCTCAAGCTTTTTTCTTTCCTATCTTGTTCACCCCTGATCAACCTTTTCCCCTCCAATATGAGATCAAAGTATTGAACTAAATGAGAGCATCAGGTTATTTGTCAGAACTGGGTTTATTCAGAGTTGTAGCCCTCTGTAACAGAGCTCCATAGAGATTCTGGCATACTTTTTGAATAAAAGTTGTGTATACTAAAACCCAGTTCATTTCTGAATATATAAAAATCTGCAAGGATCCAAAAGGCAGCAGGAAAGTAGCATTTGGTGGTGACTTGATGGATAGTTTTGAAGCTGAGAGTGAGAACCTAGGACCCATTCGGCATATCAAGAAGAATTTGTTGAGGGATTTGGTATAGTGTCAGGTCCCGTACTAGACATTATTTGGGATACAAAAATGAACAAATCAGGGCTTCTGTCCTCAAGGAACTTACCAACTAGAAGTAGATAGAAATAACCTTGACCCTTCTCTGGGCTGCAATAGAAGTTTACTGCACAGTGTGGGGGAGGGATTGTTCATTGTATTAAGAACTTGGGTTAAAACTGCGTCTGTCTTTATTTCTGCTTAGTTCCGTCGAGACGTCACCAAGTGTCTTTTCCTAGGTATTATTTCCATTCCACCCTTTGCCAACTACCTGGTCTTCCTGCTAATGTGAGTACAGATTTCTGTTTTCCCAGCATATTGAAGAAACAGATTTTTTTTTTAAGATTATTTATTTATTTATTTGACAGAGAGACAGCAAGAGAGGGAACACAAGCAGAAGGATTGGGAGAGGGAGAAGCAGGCTCCCCGCTGAGCAGGGAGCCCAATGTGGGGCTCGATCCCAGGACCCCAGGATCATGACCTGAGCCAAAGGCAGACGCCTAATGACTGAGCCGACCAGGCACCCCGAAACATAGATGTTTTTTAAATTAAAAATTATTTAAAGAACTTTCCGTTTCAGAAGTAGGCAGAGATTATCACACTTCCTGCTCCAATCTTCTAATTAGCCACTCAGTAATTATTCCTGGGTCAGCTGTAGGTGCAGGTAGCTTAGACTTTTCATGTCTCTTAGCTGCCCCTGTGTGATGTGAGATAATATTATGACCTTTTCCATCATCCCTAGAGGCAGCAGCCGACTCCCTGAGAAGCATAGCCATTTGGGAGAATCTTTTGTTTCAGGAGAGAAATGCATTTCATATTCTGATAACATAAATTTTTATTATTTTATTTTGTATCCAAAGATGACTATTTTATTTTATTTTATTTTTATTTTATTTTAGGTATGTATTTTAAAGATTTTATTTACTTGAGAGAGAGAGAGAGAGCAAGAGAGCATGAGCTGGGGGAGAGGCAGATGGAGAGGGAGAGGCAGACTCCCCGCTGAGCAGGGATTCCCCATGTGGGACTCGATCCCAGGACCCTGAGATCATGACCTGAATGAACCAAAGGCAGACGCTTAACCAACTGAGCCACCCAGGCGCCCCAATTTTATTTATTTATTTTAATTAATTTATTTATTTTGAGAGAGAGATAGCAAGAACGGGTGAGCATGGCGGGGAGGGGTAGAGGGAGAGAATCTCAAGCAGACTCCCCGCTGAGCATGGAGCCCAGCAGGGGAATCGATCCCATGACTCTTAAGATCATGACCTGAGCCGAAATCAAGAGTCGGACCCTTAACCGACTGAGCCACCCAGGTGCCCCCAAAGATGACACTTTTAAACTGTGATCTTGCTTGTTATTTTAGTTATCTGTTGCTGTATAACAAACAGTCTTGAAGCTTAGTAGTTTTTCATGGTTTTATGGGTCAGGAAATCGGGCAGGGTTCAGGTGGGTGACTGATTTTTCTCTTCCATGTGGTGTTGACAGAAGTCCCTCAGGCTTATTTAGCTGACGAAGGGACTAATCTGGATGGTCTAAGGTCACTCTCATGTCTGGTGCCTTAGTGGGGATGGCTGGAAGGCTGGAGCTCTGAGTTAGAGTACCTACAGGTGACCTCTTTAATATGGTGGCCTCAGAGTAATGGGACTTCTTACATGGCAGCTCAGGGCTCCAGGGGTGAGTGTTTCAGCAAATAAGAATCTGCTTGGCCTTTTATAACCTAGCCTCAGAGGTCACAAAGACTCACTGCACTCTCTTTTATTGGTTGAATCAGTCACCCAGATTTAAAAAGTAAGGGGACAAATCGCTTCTCAGCCTTTTGACTAAGATCAAGTGTAAAAAGTAAGGGGACATAGACCTTACTTCTCAATAAGAGCAATGTCAAGAGAGTTGCGGCCATGCTTTTTTTTTTTTTTTTTTTTTTAAAGATTTTATTTATTTATTTGACAGAGAGAGACACAGCGAGAGAGGGAACACAAGCAGGGGGAGTGGGAGAGGGAGAAGCAGGCTCCCTGCCAAGGAGAGTCTGATGCAGGACTCGATCCCGGAACTCCAGGATCATGACGTGAGCTGAAGGCAGTCGCTTAACTGACTGAGCCACCCAGGCACCCCGCTGCATCTCCAAGGATTTTATTTTTATTTATTTATTTTTAATTTTTTTAAAGATTTTATTTATTTCACAGAGAGAGAGGGAACACAAGCAGGGGGAGTGGGAGAGGGAGAAGCAGGCTCCCCGCCGAGCAGGGAGCCCGATGCGGGACTCGATCCCAGGACCCCGGGATCGTGACCTGAGCCGAAGGCAGACGCTTAACCGACTGAGCCACCCAGGCGTCCGCGGCCATGCTTTTAAACCACCGCACATGTAGAAAAATGGATTAAAAAACACATTTGCCCTGAACATTTTATATATACATACAGACTGTGCCACAGTTTGAGGTTGTCAGCATCACATACGATGAGTGGCTCCGTCTGCCGCTCTCTCCAACTCTGTCCAAAAAGATGTTCTTCAAATGCTTTAATTCAAATGAAGTCATTTTATCTAATTACTACACGTGAGGCTGTCCCACTGCTGCTTCCTTTCACAGACCCTCAGTAATGTTGCCTGAAATTGTGCTTCAGTGTATCTTTAAACCTCGGTCTGAGACTCATTTACAGAAAAGAACAGTGAGGTAGGGAAGTCATGTCTCCATCTCTTCTTCCTAGTGTTCATGTCCGCCAAACGCTTTCTTGGATCACTTAGAAAGATGCCGGTTTCAGCAAGTGACATTGTGATTCCTTTTCCTTTCAGGTACCTGTTTCCTAGGCAGCTACTGATCCAACATTTCTGGACCCCAAAGCAACAAATTGATTTCTTAGATATCTATCATGCTCTCCGGAAGCAGTCCCACCCAGAAATCCTTTGTTATTTAGAAAAGGTTATCCCTCTCGTTTCTGATGCAGGACTCCGGGGGCATATGACGGAGCTGTGCACCAAGGTATTCCTCCAGCTAACCCTTCCTGCAAACTCCGACTCTTGTGAGAAACTAGGGAAAAGGGCCAGGCAGGACCTTCCTAACCTCTACCAATCTCTCACCTCTCCCAAGATACAGCATGGTACCCACCCAGCAATACATGATATCCTGGCTCTGAGAGAGTGTTTCTCTAACCATCCCCTGGGCATGAAGCAACTCCATGCTTTGCAAATGGTGAGCACTTTGTGGCTTTCTGTGTCCCGCAGCCTCACCTTGCCTCAGGTCTTGCGTGTGGTAATAACTATGTTGACTTTCTCCTCCCGTGTTGATGTGTTACAGAAAGCCTTGAGCCGAGCCATGCTTCTCACGCCTTATCTGCCTTCTTTCTTGTTGAGACACCGTTTAAGGACTCATACCACTGTAATTCACCAACTGGACAAAGCTTTGGCAAAGCTGGGGATTGGCCAGCTATCTCCTCAGGAGGTGAAATCGGTAAGAACTTACCGCGATATCAACCCTCAGTCCTTGGTGGGCTTTTGAGCGCACGGGGCTGGGAGCTTACAGAGAGCTCCCTGTTTTGCTTGTTAGAACAAAGCCCAAACTCTTTATTCTTTCACCTCATTTCTGTGTCTTTTTTCTCAGTGAACTTAACTCACGGAAAAGGAATTGCCCATAGTAATTTTGGTTTATGTTTCTTTTCTTTTGGCCCTTCAAAAACCGAGGACACTATTCTTTAGACCTACTGTTTTTGATTATATAGGCCTCTTTGCTTGTCTGTCGTAGTTCAGATTGCTATAGAGAAAGGTTTCTTGTGGGCATGGAGTTGTAGCTTATTTAAAGGAGATTTTGAATTATTTGTGGGCTTACAGTTCATGGGGATATTTGCTATGTGATTATTGAGGACTGTTCCTCTTCTGAGTGATACAGGCTTGTTATCTTCGTGGCCTGAATTCTACCCATATTGCTGAAGAGAGGTGTCGAACTTGGCTGGGAGAGTGGCTACAGATTTCCTGCAGCCTGAAAGGTAAGACACATGTGGTTATGCCACTAAATCCAAAGTATTTTTCTGTTTGATTCTAAGATTATTTTGGAGTTGATTATTGAGTACCATGAGACCCTTATTTAATATATATGTCTAATTGAAAGGGCATAAACTCATTTGCCTACAGGGGCTAAGCAGGTAATGAAGTGGACTCTGCAAGACAGGAGGGAGTAGTGAGGATTGTGGGAGCCCAAAGCAGCATGCATGCCGGCCTGAAGCAGTCTCTCAGCCCCAGCACTATTGATGCTAATGTCCTGAGCACTAGAGGATCTCTAGCAGGATCCCTGGTCTCTGCCCGCTAGATGCCAGCAGCATCCTCCACGCCAGTTCTGACAACCAAAAATGTCTCCAAACATTGCCGGATGTCCAGTGGGGCAGAGGAGAACAGAATTATCCCAGTTGAGAAGCACTAGTCTAAAGGCATTCAAATTCAGAACAAAAACACTCAGTTGGCTAAATAAAAAGACCCGGGGGTGGGTATTAGGCCTGTGGGGCTCTTGTTGGAACCTTTGGCTAGGCCTTGATGTTTTCTAAGCCTGTGAATATCAGGGTAGGCCTACTAATCTCCTTGGAGCCAAGAAATGTTTCCAGAGCAGCAGCTCCTACCAGAAGAATCCCAAGGGTGATTAGTATCATTACCGTCTCTGAAGTTTCTGCCGCACCCCTTAAGAGTCAAGAAAGGAGGATGAGTGGAAAGGAGTATCTGGTGGAAGGAAAGGAAAGCATACGTGCAGGGACTGGAACGAAGCAGGGGAACTTTGAGAACAGTAACCTCTTGACGTCACGCCTCTGCACTTGGCTTCCCGCCTCTAGTATCACGCCCCGTCGATCAAGGCAGTTAGCAGGCTAACTGTTCCCTGGCCAGGCCATTAACACTGATGGTGTTTACAGAAGCTGAGCTGTCCCTCTTGCTACACAACGTGGTCCTGCTTTCCGTCAACTACACCGGGACAAGGCGCTGAGCGAACGCGGGGCCGATGGCATGTCCTGCGGCCACAGAGTGCAGCAGCGTGGCACCTACCCGCACCGGTCAGCCGGGGCTCTGCGTGCGCTGGTAGGTGCGCCCGAGGCGGGGGACAGGTGCTACAGGCTTCCCAGCGCGGCCGCCGCGCTGGAGCTGGGACTGAAACAAGCCCTCTTAGCAGAGGCGGCCCGCGTGAGCTGGCGTCCCGACTTCCTCCGAGTCAGCCGCGGCGGCTGGCGGCCTCTGCTGGGCCTCCATGGTGGTGGTTTCAGTTCAGAGCCTAGGAAGGGAGCTTGTGCCCCGGGTGAAAAGCCTCATCTGGCCCTGGCCCGGGCTCACCCACTGGCGTAGTCTTGGAGCTGCGTTTTTGTTACAGTTTCTGGCTGGTGAGGGCAACGGCACTGTTGAAATTGGAGCATTTACGTCTATGCGTGTACTTCGATGCTGCCCTCAATCCTTCTTGTGATGACCAAAATAGGTTTTTGTTTTCTGGGGTTTTGTTTTTGGTCCCCTCACTGGGTTAACCACTCCCTTTCCTTTCCAAATCGTTGACCCATCTTTTTTTTTTTTTTAAGCAAATATTCATTTATATGGGGATTTTCTAATGGAAAAGATAAAAGGAAACACAAGGGCTCCTTGTCCCTTCCCGCGTTTATAGCCTTCACCCCCCTCCATCTTAATTCCTGCGCTGTGGTGCAGCCCCTAAGGAGCTTCAGCTCTGCTACCCCTACTGCGCTGCGGCAGGCCAGCTCTAACGGGACAGTGGCCGCCTTCTCTGGGCCACGGATTAAGCCTCCGAGGTACTAATCACTGCCCCGCCTGGGAGACCGGAGAGGCCTGCAGTGTGAGTAAGTTGGGGTTAGCTTTTGTCTGTGTACATCATTGACCTGTAGTAACTTACTGTAAATGCATGAAGCACTGTTTTAAATCCAAGTAAAGACTGCCTGAAACCAGTTGCTGGAAATGACTTATGCATACTCTAATTATTTTGCTAAAGCTCCTTTGACAAGACTGACAAATCTAACTAATGGGGGAGGTAGGTGGTTGGAATAGAAGCTTCTGATGGGATGGAAGTTCTGAGGGATCTGATTTGACGTTGATCCTCTTTGCTGGACTTTAAGATGGTAAAAAGGAATAGAGAATTTGGAATTAACAATTGAGCCCCCAGAGTAGTAGGGACTACAGAAAGGGAAAAGCTCCAACAGGGCAGGATCAAGGCCTGCTTCAGCTGAAGAGGTACATAAGGGCATATGATGCAAGTAAAGCTCTTGGTGCTCCTAAGAGAATGTTCGGTTTTTCCACCATAATGTTAACATTAATCTCTAACTGACCTAATTAGTTCTATATATGATGCTAGAGAAACACCCTTTCTCTAACAAGTTAACAAGCCTGCCAAGATAAAGAATAGCACGCTGTTCTTTTGAGTATTTCTTTAATATTACATTTAAATAGTCTCTTTAAATACAGCATTATCACAATGTAAAGGACCAAAAAGGCAAAAAAAAAAAAAAAAAAAAATTCTTTTCAGAGAACCAGACAAGCTTTGGATTCACATTGAAAATACTACCTGTATACAGTATGTGAGAAAGGAAACTGGAAAATAATGAGTTGGAATAATACGAGATTTCTTTTATCTAGGCCTAGACTGAGCGGGACCGAAGCCATCTGCTCCTGATCACAGGAGGCCCAGGCTTAGCTTTTCTAGCAACCATGAGCCAGAATTCTGTCCAGCTCAGGTAGCACCAGAAACGAGATGGACTAGGTTGTAGAAAAGGCCCTTTGCTTGACAAGACGATTAATGCTCAGTGTTAATATTCAGCATTAAAAAACTTGGGATCAGCAGGAGTCAGAATTGTTGAGTTAATGGAGGGATGGACTTGGATTAAGAAACTGGTTTTTCAGATACCGCTTCTTGGCCTTTTGGCTAAGATCAAGTGAAGAAACTAGTTTTTCAGAAAAACCAAATTATCTTGGGGGTTGGCAGTCAGTTTAACAATTAGATTCAGATTCTTTGTTTGATCCCAAAGGCTAAAGTGTCTCTTATTGAGCAGCTGGAATCCACCTCCTAGGTGAGGCTGGAGCCTTCCTAAGGAGGGAATGTATAAAGCCCACCCTCCCCTTCCAACACAAACTTTCAGGAAGATTCTTCTCCAGAGTCGAATTTGCAGTGAAGCTTCAGTCTCGTATTCAAGGGGCCAGCCGAACGTGGGAGAGTGGTGCTCAGCTTGGGAGAGTGTCTAGATCTCAGGTACTTAAGACTGTTTTGTGAGGCTAGAGGATGGGGGGGGAGACAAGGTCCTGTACTTAAGAACTCCCCTCCAAATGTAAAACCAAGCAAAACCGGGAATGAACAGGAGGCAGACTAGGTTAAAAGATGTATCTGTTGAAGTACAAGGCCTCGAAGGCTCAGGTGAGAGATCTGATAGGTGAACTGCTGCCGGGACCTACATAAAGGGTGCTTTAACGGCCCCTGAGAAACGGCTTGGTGAGTAAGGTAAGTGGGAAGAGTTCTCTCCCCCACCAAAACCAAAAAGGTTTTCACTTGTTCTTTGCTGGTTAATAAACCATACCAGAAGTGAAGCATGATGTAAAGGGTACTAGAGAAGAGTGTTTTGCTCCCTCCTGCCTCCAAAGGGAGGCAGAGAGAACTGTTCATAAAAAGAATTCCATGGTGTTCAGTGGAGCACATCCTGGAACGTAAGCTGGACATAAGAGGAACAGGAGCTGTGTCCCCCCATTAGAGGTAAGAACTGAATTTGAGTCCCACTTTATAGTAATCTCAAAGGTTATAGTCGGAACTTGAATTCTTTGGAACCTGGGAGCTGCATTTAAGAATTAGTTTGGCTTCCAGTTTTTACATATCAAGATGGAGGGATCCAATAAATATTTGCAGTTCTTGGGGCTGAGGGGGGCGGAACCTGTGTGGACAGGAACATATAAGAACTCTCCAACCCTGTATATCCAAGGACCACGAGGGTAGATACAGAAAAAACAAATTAGTCGGTGACTTTAGATTACCACATCCTATGTTCCTTTAAAGCTCAAACCTCCCAGAGTGGGAGAAAAACCTGGGTGAAAAAGCAAGCGTGGCACAAATAAAGTCTTTCCAGACAGCAGCCTGTCCCTGCTGCCTCTTTTGGACATAGTGCTCCATGTATGCCTCCCATAGGACGTGGGAGTCCCAGCCTAAAGCCGCCTGACAGAGCCGGCATTCGACACAGACAGAAGGCTCCTGCTCTTTAGGCCACATCCCCAGCCAATCTAGCTTTTTCTTCAAGGGAAAAGGAAGGAGGAGGGAAAGAAGATAAATAGACAAGTTTAACTCTAGTACCTAAGAACATGTGAAAGAAATAATTCAAGTTACAGACCAGGAATCCCCAGTGTGGGGAACAGGTCAGAGAACACCAAACATGTCAAATATTAACTTATTTACCAAATAGGCAGGCCAGGGAAGGCAGGTTAAATTTTTATAAATCCTGGTTTTCTACAGAAGCAGAGACCCTTCTATCCACTCCCCTCTAGATTTGACCAGATAATATTCCAGCTGATGATGATACACCAAAGTCGGGTATCAGGGTGACTGATGAGAAAATGAGCTTGTACCCCACCTGGAGCTCAGGAAAGGAGAAGGGGCTTTGCCATGCTGTTCAAATTACTGTATTCTGGTCCCTACATAAAGAATAGCTGCTTGAATTACCCAGCTTCTCCTGTGAGATCCTCATTCTTTGTTCCAGTGGCCCAGAAGGCTCAGTATTCAGCACTGTGCAGCCTCCTCTGCCCCAAGACTCTCCCCAGATCAAGCTGGGACTGGTCTCCTTGGTTCTGTTTACCCTTTAAAAAATACTTTTACAAACAAATCTTTCCCACCCATCCCCCCCGAGACCCCAATAAAATAACATGGGAGTAGCAGCTGCTTCTACAGTTTTGTTTTGAAATGGTGTTAGATAAAATAAGGGAATAAATAGAGAATGGGTAAGAGGCAGAATCTCCGTCCCCGCGTCACACTGCCAGAGGGAGTTCTAGGGAAGAATCTTCAGGGGGCCTGTCCTCACTCTGCTGTGAGCCTTTCTCCACCACACAGCCCTCTTCGTTGTCCGTGCGGAAGGGGAGGCTCGAGGGGGACCACGAGGGGCGGAAGTCTTCATCCTCAGGCTCCTCAGGGCTACACGCTTCGGGCACTAGCGCTTCTAGAGTGGACGTTTTCCCCACTTCCGCTTTACACAGGGCAGCTGGGTCTGTGGGGCTACAAGCCACCAGTGAGGTAACAGGGAGAGAGAAGACATTCAGATCCTTCTCCTTGGGGAAAGAGGCTGGGGCTTCTTCGGTACTGGGCTCTCCTTTCGCCCCCAGCACGGGCCTCTGCTCCACCTGATAGTAGACCAGGGGCCCGCTGTTCAAGTAGGACGGGCCGTTCACTGCTGAGGCGGTGGGGTGGTCCGAGTTCTCGGCAAAACACAGGACCGAGGAGCCGGGGGGCAGCTGGGCCTGGATGAGAATGGGGGCGGTCAGGCCGGGGCACAGCTCTTCGGGAACAGCCAGGGGCTCCTCCAGGATGCACACGCCCAGGCTCTCTATGCTGGAGTCCAGGCTGGCGCTAGAGCCACTGGAATCTTCCTCTGCCTTGAGCCGCTCCAGTTCCTCCGCGCTCTGCAGGTGCATCACTGCCGTCTCGTTCTCCGCGAGGAACTCCTGGAAGTCCTGTGTCTCCGAGCCCTGTGCTCCCGTCAGGCTGCAGCTGGCCGTGGGGGACGGCTCCTCATCTGCGGCCGGTGCGCGGCTCACCTGCCGCTTGCTCTCCAGCTCCAGCTTCATGATGGTGTGGAGGTAATGAGTCCGCACCCGGATCGGATTAAACTCAATGCGCCCAGCCATGTTCCCACAGCCATCCCGCGAACAGCCGCATGGGAAGGACATGCGATCCACCTGAGGAGAGGACAAGAAGGTGGAGGGAAGATGAGACCACCGGATCTCAGGACGGGGCTAGCAGACAGGAGCTGGCAAACACGGGCGGCTGGGATTTGAGGTCTTCAAAGAGGAACAACCGGGAACAAACGGAACGTGCGGCGCGACCTAACAGGGCGCCAGGGGGTAGTTACCAGACCGCCTGCATTTCAGTTCCGGCACAGCCGCCGAGTAGCAGTGGGCCCTCAGGAAGGGCCTCTATCTCGGGGGCCCCTGGGCGGTGCAGTCACTTAGGCATCCGACTCTTGGTTTAGGCTCAGGCCATGATCTCAGGGTCGTGGGATCGAGCCCTGCAGCGGGCTCTGCACTCAGCACAGAGTCTTCTTGTCCCTCTCCTTCCCCTGCTGCCCCTCCCCCTGCTTGTGTTGTCTTTCTCTCAAAATCTTAAAAGAAAAAAAAAAAAAGAAGGTCCTTTATCTCTCCAGGGCTTTGTTTCCTCTTCCAAATAAAATGTAGCCAAAAATCCTGTTAAAGGGTCTTTCCAGTTAAAAAGTCCAGAGGTACCTGTCTGAATGCTGACAGTTCTCAGAGTAGAAGAAATTTCTGTGCCTCAGAGACTTTTCGAGAACTTACCTAGTTTATTGAGAAAACAAAGGCTGGGGCCCAAGCCTACTGCCTTCTGCAATGAGAGGGAAAGAAAGTAGAAGATCTAGCTGGTCCAAAGCAATATATCCTAGGGAAACTAAGCGAAAGTGCCTTAGTTTTGCTAGGGTGCTATAATGACGGTTCAAACGTAATCATGGCCAGCTTTTCACCACCTGCTTCATTTTCCCCTGACGGTTGACCAGTTTAGGTCTGGAGCAGTTACTAAGATAACTAACTTACAGACCAGGAACATCTGGGAAGGAAATCCTCTCTGCCTCCGTATCTCCCTTTTGGACCCCAAAAAGGAAAGAAGCCCACATATACCAAAAATAAAATAAAAAATACAAGCAAATATGTATATACAAATACACAATGTCTTCCTATGGTAACAACTTCTAGAACTCTCCATTCCAGTTCTTAGGAGCAGTCCAATTCTTAGGACTATTCTCAGGACTATAAGAGACTGATTCATTATGGGACTTCAGTCTGAAAAGCAGTATTTGGCCAGATCTGCTACAGCTATTACCTACCTAAAAATAAGAAAGAAAAGGTTCATTAGGATACATTCAACCACAAGGACTCAGCACCCACATCCTCAGTATACAAGTTCCAAATAAATTTCGTCCTTTGGGATGGTACTGCTGTTTTCAATGGAGATACGCCTCCTAAACTGTCCCTTGTCAGGCTAGGGGATGATGTCTTCCATCTTTCAAGACACTGGACTTAAAGCTCTGCCAGGCCAAGTCCGATCCTGAATTATAAGCCAAGAATTGTTTTGAGTTTTACAGAACTGGAGTAGAGGTCCTGTGAGTGTTTGCAAGATACAATCTAAAGGCCTCACCTCATCTCTCTCCTTCCTTTCAGCTCATGAAATCAGTCAATATTCAAGGAACAGTTACTAATGTTAAACATACTAACCCATGTTCTCCCATTTGCTGATGGCTGCTGCTTATCACTTCTGAGGTGAGAAACACAGGAAAGCTAATTGCTACCTCCCCAGCCTAGGAATCCTGCCATGCTTCGTGTTTTTCCTTGGTGGAGGAGGGCAGTGGAACCAGGGAGTGTTCCCAGTCATAGGGAATCCACCCACGGATGATGGGCAGCCTCCCGTGTTCCTTGGTACCCACATCACATCCCCCGGCCTCTACAGTAGATCTACCATCTCAGGCCAACTTGGACTGACCTGGCATTTAATCCCAGCCTGACTACAGGCACATGCTTCTGGGTCACAATACAGGCGACAGTCACAACCACACTCTTCCCGTGACAGGCGGATGGCTCGAAGTTCTTGCTTCTCTTCAGCATCAATGCGGTGGACCCCCGAAGCCCTCAGCAAGGCTCGTCGCCGTTTGGTGGGCAGGGGCTGCAGGAAGAAGTAATCATCCACCTCCACGTTTTCCACATCAATATCTTCATCTGAAACATCATCCAGGGTCAGGCCATCGGCCTCCACCGACTCCACTGTCCCATTCTTGGTCAGCTGCCAGAGACAGGAAGGAGAGGTTAGCCTCAAGTGTTCTCAGCAGGCACCTCCTACTCTGGGTACCTCGAGCAGCAGAGCCCAGCTGACCTTCCTGCGAGGAGGGCAAGATCGGGGCTGCTCGTAGCACACGTGGCTGATGAGCACTGTACATGAGGCTAATGCGGAGCAGAAGGGGACCTTTTTAATTTTATTTTGTTTTAATTAAGTATAAGTAGCCACATGTGGCTAGTCGCTCCCACACTGGATAGTTGAAGAGAATAAATGTAGAGCAGGAAGGCAGGAAGGCTTATGTGGCTCTAACACCTCCCTGTCAACACAGGGCCTATCACCTTTCCAGATCAAAGTTTCTCAAAGCCCGTATCTCATCTTCCCTCCTAGAAGACAGACATACCCTCCATCCCCAGACCTGTGTCCTGTACCTTCAGCTAACTTGCCTTCTAACACAGGGACGAGGTCTATCCATGGCTGCACGTTCCTTGGATGTACAGATAACCTTGCAAAACACCCTTCCCTCTGCACCCCAAAGGACCCAAAACCACATTCTGGGAAGAAGAGTACACTAAAGTGCAGTACAAGGCTACCAGGTCTTTGTCAATGAACCTGAATCCCCACAGTGTGAAGAATTATCTGCATACACAAGAAGAGCTTCATTTCACTGGGAGGAGTAAAAAATGACCAAATTATTTAACGGCTATCAAAGAGAGCCCTCACTTCCAACCCATAGCCTAGAATATATTCGTTCTCCTTTCTAATTCTTTTTCTTTGATTTCAGAGAAAAGCTGTCTGTGAAGTAGGGTGGCATATATAATACTGAGGTACTATCTATGGGCAGAAATCTGGGTTCTCTGGGCTAAGAAGGACAGAGAACCAGGAAAAAGAGTCTTCGTGGTAGGACAGGTTGAAGACAATCTGGCTGAATGAGTTTTGAAAACTCACTGGAGAATTCAAGGAAAGAAAACGAGACTTCGTGATTCCCTGAGCTCTGGAAGCTACTAGGAGGATGAGGGCCAAGCTCGTGGAGGGGCTGGTTTATTTCATCAGACCCAGTCACGGATTAGTGCTAGTAAAGGAACAACTCCTGGGAGAGAGATGATGCAACAGACTCGGCTAATCAGCTCCACACCTGTTTTTGTTTGTTTGTGGGGAAGTGGGAGAGAGAGGGGACAAATACGGTGGTGCTTCTGGGCGTTTCCTGGTCTGTTATTTATGTACCAGGTGGACTCACGGTGAGGGGTCCTTCTGCTGACCTTGGGACTGCTCCCACCTGTTTTGCCGGGGATGGCCCCCTCCTAAGCACCCTCCCTCCTGCCGTCCTCTCAAGGGAAAGAGATCAGAGATGCAATAGGAAGAAACCCACGTATTCGTATAACACGATAGAGGCGGCATTTCAAATCAAGTGAGAAAGAGAGTCCTGTGGTCATTAAATGATATTGGGGTAAGTGGATATTCTTCTGAAAAATAAATCAGTAAAGTTGGATTCCCAAGTCATACTACCCTTAATAATGAATTCCATGTGAATAAGAGGCCAAAATTTAAAAAAAAATAATGAAAGTATTAGAAAAAGTATAGGTCGTTAAAGCTCCAGAGCACCAGGAGCTTTTCTGGGGAGGGCTGGCGGCGGGGGGGGCGGGGGGACAGCCTAAAAAGGAAAATATTAGATGGCACATGGGAGATGCGGAAGATGTACTTCTTAGATCAACAGCCTCCCCTGGAGAGTACTGAAGATAGGAACGATTTCTAAGAAAAGAGAAAACGACCCGGGGAGGGCAAAGTAAGGGTTTTCTCTTGACACAGAAAGATGTATTCGTTTCACTACTGCCCTTGCTCACCAAATCGGCTACGAGAGGGCGTCCTGTGTCAGCCTTGAGCCTGCCTAGCTTGTCCCTAGACCTCTGCCAAGGGAGGCCACAGAACAGGAGGGAACTGCGCTTTCACAGGTCATCCCTCTACCGGATCTAGGAAGGAGATTCTTCTGGGCAAAGGAGAAGCCTTCCCTGTAAATGATGAGAACAGTGTTTATTTCCCCTGCTGTTGCTATGGCAGCAGGAAGGCGATAGGGTCAGTGACGGAATTCCTCAGACACAAGAAAGGGACGCCTCAATGTCATTCCAGTTAGAAAAACAGGTGGGAGGCTCTGGGGCTAGGCTGCGGGAAGGAGACACAGCTGTCAGACGGAGAAAGGAGTGAGGTGCCGTGAGTCCACATCCTCTGCCCTCAGTTCTCCAACCACAGCTCATTCTGGTGTGGCCCGTTAGGATTTCACCCACAACCCTGGAAATAATGCAGCTTTGGGCCCACAAGAAACTTGGCCGGGCCGAAAGCAGTGTTCGCCAAATCTGGAACTAGGAACTCGGGGGGGATTTCTGCGGCCTGGTAGGAAGTATGGCTGCGCCATGCCAAGCAGTGCCGAGAGCAAATGGGTAGCCGTAAAGAGCCATCCTGGTAGAGATGGGTCGTCTTGCGGCCCCACTCTCCTCCTAAACTTGGAAGAGCTGGTGTGGCATCAGATGGCAGGCCCAGTACCACCGAAACCGAAAGAGCTATTTGGTAATGCTGTTGTTTACACCCAAAAGACCACCACCTAGAGGTGACGGGGGTTACAGAAACAGCAGGGTCTGTCGGAGAAAACCTGTTCTGTGCACGGGGACAACAGACAGTCATGTGACAAGAAACTGAAACAGTGTGCCTCCTCGGGTTCCAAGGGTGGCGGACTTGAATGTCTTCAGGTATTTGCACCTTAAACTTTTAAAAAATATGCTGAGGCGGCGAGGGTAGGGAATTCTAGGGAAGCCATTTTGCTCTCTTGTGTAGACTCCCCGCCAGAGGCAAAAAGAATGGCGTCTCAGACTGAGATGTGATTCCAAACCTGAGGCTTCTCACTTCTCGCTGGAATCTCTACATGCCAAGGGCAACAGTCAAATTAAAAAGAATAAATAAATCATCAGGAGCCCAGGACGGTTTCCCACTTTATCTTGGCACACAGTTAAGTACCCAGACCCCAGACCCCTTAGGCACCTTCATCTTCTTGGCATGGAGTTTCTCCTCCTTCAGGTGCTCACGAAGAATCTCCCGATGGTTCACCTCCTGCTCCTGAGCAAACTCACAGAGCGTGTAGCTGCGTACGGAGTTATGGCGCTGGGCCATGCCCAGCGAGCTGCCACCCTGGCTGGGCACACTGGTGAAACCCTGGCGCCGGGCGAAGTAGTACACGGTCACCTGGTCAAAGCGTACATTCTTCCTCCGCAGCTGCTTCTGCCGCTTGAGGATGGATGTGGCTGAGAAGGAGCACAGAGCGGTTTTACCAACCCCGAAACGGCCAGCCTGGGGCCCTTGTTCTTTCTCAACTCTTGTCCAACGTGCTCTCTGTACCTCGAGACCCTGCTATCTTCCCACCATCCATGCACAGCCCGGAAGGACCCCGAACATCGGCTGGTCCGTACCACTGCCTCCAGACTGACTCCACCCAGACGGATGACCACAAGAGCTAATTTTAGACATCAGCTGGGAAGAGGATCTCTAGGTGATCTCTTCAGGGTATAACAATCTATATGGCTTCACTGTCCAATACAACAACCCCTAGCCACATGTGGCAATTTAAAATAATAATTCAAAATAAAATGTAAAATTCAGCTCCTCAGTTACACCGATCGCATTTCAAATGCTCATAGCTACATATGGCTAATGGCTACCATACTGGGCGGTGCAGATGTAGAACATTTCTATCATAACAGAAAATTCTACTGGACAGTGTTATCTATAGCTGGGGGTGGTGTACTTCTTCTTTAAAGGGCCAGACAGCAAATACTTCAGGCTCTGCGGGCCATGAGGTCTCTGCTGCAACTACTCAACTCTGCCACCGCAGCATGAAAGCAATTACAGTGTGTGTGGCGGTGTGCCATTAAAACTTTATTTATAAAAATGGGCAGTGGGCCAGATCTGGTCCATAGGCAACTTCTGATCTACAGCATCAGAAGTTCTTTCCAAGAAATTAACGGAACCATTAGAATTAAGAAATCTGGAGCTGCCCTGGTTGTCCAGGCCGCATTTACGTCCTTCCAGAGCTACAATTGTGTGGGACTCTGGTGGGTAAGGGGAGAATCCTGGACTTCTCCTTCTTCAGTTTAATTCAGCCCATTCTGGGGACCTATAGAGCACAGCATAGGAAAAATCAGCTAGAATAAGTCGGACCTAGGTCTATGATATTAGAGCGGTAAAGTCCTCCAAAGAGTGAGGTTGGGCCAAGAGTGGAAAAGCCCCCAGGCGGAGAGAAGCGGTCTCAAGGACTGCAGTGGGCTCTGCCACTCAGAGGACGTGGGCGGAGGCGGGGGGTGGAGGGGCTCACTCACGCGTGAAGCTGGCAGCTGTAGGAGGATTGAGGCTGTCACAGCTGTCAGCACTGTCACTGCTGGAGATCTCATCATCTGAGTTGGAAACTGATGAGCCCACATCCACATCATCAAACTTCCTCTTGAGACTCGAGCCCGTGAATGCATCCATTGGTTTCAAAGGGGTTTCCTTGGGGAGCCCACCACGTTGGCCCCAAAGCCCCTGCTCACCACCAGTTAGCCAGGTACATTAGGATTCTGCCCAGGGGAAAAGGAGGAATCAGCATTCCTGTCCCGAGCCAGACCCCTCCCGAGTCTATACGCACAGCTCTCCAAATGAAGAAAGTCAGCCCCTGAGCTAGCACTGATGTCCGGTCTCGCGAGACTAGGTCATTTCTCTACTTACTCTGGCCAACGTTCTCCTACTTTTACTTCCCTTCAGCCCCTCCAGTCTCAGTCACTCACAGAATAATGAGATGAGTAACAGTGGCACCTTTCCGAGCAGAGTGAAGGCCTCTGGCTCCAGGCCAGCTGGGCTCTGGGTTTCATTAGCCCGGGGATAATGGTAGCTCTCCTGTGCTCACACAGGAGCGCTCTCCACGGGGCCAGCAGGAGGGACTGGGGACCACAGGCAGAATTAGGCTGTGCCTAAACCTAGACTAGATCCAATTATTTTTCCTAGTGAAAATTTAGCCTGGCTTTTCCCAAAGTGTATATATTAAATCAACTAGTTCCATGGATATTAATAGCTTTACATGGAAATAGGACCTCTGTGTCCAAATAGCTTAGAAAAGTGCTTAGGAGAGGACAGCTTGGAGGCTTTAAACTAGCTGCTAATGAGCATGGCGAAGGGTGAGAGCAAACATAGCGCAGGGGTCCCCACACCTGATTATGGAGCGCTTTGTTTCCAGAGTGTCTCAGGGGGGCAAGTGATTCTTGGAACGCACTTTGGGAAATACTGCTCTAGGATCGAAGGTTCAGAGTATATCAGAAGCCAGGGAAACAATTTATCCAGATCTTCCCAAGGGTGACCTTTCTCGCCAGGCTCCTAGAGGGTCAAATTCAGTTCTAAAGAATGGACTGAAGATTAGAATCTGCGCTGCCTTCAAAACCCAGACTCTTTTCCAATCTCATAGAGCTCCGTAAAATAGGGCTCAGCTGGCCTATCATCGACCCGTGTGCGAGGAAAACCTAGAGTCACCATCTTAGCCCTCCGTAAAGAAGCCGGCAAGGGGAAAACAAATAGCAAAAGAAGTGACAGTTGACTCTGGTGTCGTCAATATGGCAGGCAGAGCCTTCAACACGTCACACACACCCACGAGTCCGGGAGAGTCCACTTCCCAGGGACAAATCTCTCCTTCTCCACCTTTGGACTTAAGTTCCCAAGAAGATGAATCTGCTTGACAGAAATGCTGTCAGAGGCGGAGCCACATGGGATGACATGAAGCCTCCCTGCTTTGCCTCACTAATGCCAGAATCTCCGCAGACTATGATCTCACGAGTTGCTAATTATGCAGCAGGAATAACAACACTGCCCAGAAAGACAGGGCTGCATTACTGCACAGCAGCTGCCCAGAATATACTGTGGTGTCAAGAGCTGCCTGCTCCAGAGCTGGTCTGCTGGACTGTGTCTCTCGGAAGCAATCTGCCTGCTCTTGGGTCAGCTCTACAGCGTCAACCAGACCTAGTCCGTACTCGAGGGAAGATATTTCCTGATCTATCTACCCAGATCTCATCAGGATTCTGCATTCGAGTCACAAGATGTACCTAAGAAGCCTCAGCCATCGAAGGTCTCAGACAAGCATATTCCTGAAATAAATTTGGCCAGGGAGGAAAAAAAAAAATCAAGTACTTGTAATTAAATTTAAAAAGGAACCCAAAGTGTCAATTCCGTTCTTCAGGTTACTGATCTTATCATTAGAGGTCACATTCCTAGGACATATTAAGAATAGAGAGAGCCAAGGACCTTTTAATGGGGTAAGATTTCAGCTGGGTTTAAAGATACCTCTTAACTAACAAATTTCTCATTCCATTCGATGATGGGGGTCGGTAATCTTTACAATTGAGAACTTATGTGGGTGGGATAAAAAAGAGAATAATGTTGACCACCGAATTTAATTTTTCCTCCCCACTTAAAAAAAACTTTATAAACCACATGAAAACTCAGACTGAGCTGAAAATCTGCTTTCTCAGAAAGGGCCTAAGTCCAATTCAGTTTTAACTGAGATGTCCAGTGTTGCTACTGGGAAAGTGGCTTTTTCCTCAGTCTGGAAGCATACAGGGCTTCATGACTGGAGGCAAATGCGCAGTCCTGTTCTTTCTTCCAGTGTCCCTTTGCTTCCAGTAGTGTGGCTTCCCTTTGAATATTTCTCTTTAAGCCCTGCATGAGGTTGGGTTTGGTCCCAAATCATCTTTATTATTAAAATTCTGTCTTAACCCAGCTGCCCTCAGGGGTATCACTTCTTCTGGTGCAGCAAGGATTGCTGTCTGCTCCATTCTCCTTCAACCCTTTTCTCTAGGTTTTCCCCACTTCCACTCCTGGAATAGTGGCTTCTGGGCAATGATAAGAGGGAGGTAAGAAAGAGGGAAAAAAAAGAAAGAAAGAAAAGAAAAGAAAAAAGATGTGAATCCTAGGAGAAAGGAGTTTTCCTTAAAATGCCAGAGAATCATCTGAACCCATTGGCTATAGGTAAGTAATGTGCATACTGACTGAGCTCTCCTCACCCTACCCAGGATCTGTCTGCATCACTTTCTCTGACATTCATTCCACTATATATATATATATAATCCATCAATTCTGTCCTGGCAACCAGTATAAATTTAAATTTCAACCCAGTCTCCCTTGTCCAACTCTGGTGTGAACTTGACTTGTCAGAAAAAGATACTCACTGGGCACCAACAACAAACCTCCCATCCACTTCCACAGTGGCCTGAAGAGAACTTCCTTTGCAACAGAAACAACTAGAATAGGTCCCACACTTTCCAGTTCATCACATCAACCTCTCTTCAAACCACATTTTGAAATCAGTCATTCCCACCTCTCTCAACCATTCACTGGCAGAGGATCAATGCCTGTGTTCAAGAGAAACACTTGTGAGTTATACTCCAACCACTTAAACCCATAGAGAAATAATGAAGGTGAGACTGGAAATGCAGGCCGTAACTGACAGTTAACTGTCAAAATGACCAACTCAAACAACAAACGCTTTTGGAGAAAATAATGCAAACCCCTATAAAAGCTTTTTAATGCCAGTGAAATGAAAGGTCAGCTGACACTTTCTGGCTACATGCCTTATGGTCTTTTCTCAAGTGTTTCTAGCTGAATGTTTCCCAAAGGTGTTATGAAATAAAGCATATCCACAGTATACAGAAGATACGAGCCTAGCACCAAATAAAGATCTATAGCGTATGTGCATTTTAGTACTAGAGCTAAGCCTTTTCAGACCTGTAGGATTCCTATTACAACCTCCCAAAAAACAAAACAAAATAAAAACTACAGCTTATGTGAGACTAGCAAAAGAGGGACTGCCCAGAAAAAAATCCTGTGGATTCAAAGTGTATTTGCAAAGTTTGGGTAATGAAAGCCTCTTTCTTGAGTATAAAATAGTAAGACAAGGTATATCTCACAGGAGAAAGCCTCTTCGCTCCACTGGAACCCAGCCTTCTGCTAAAGGTCAAGGGACCAAAATCTCTGGTAAGATTGTCGGGGTTATCTTCTGTAGCTGGGTTAGAGGAAGAAGGCAGCCTTGCTGCTAAGTGTTTGGATAAACCTGAGTAAGATGACCTGACCTGTTTCCCCTTTTACAAGATATTGCAGTTGATTCTCAAATACTATGAATTTCATGGATCCATGTGTCCTTGTGATTACCAGGATCATGAACTCAGAAAGTGCTTGAGTGCAAACATACGGTTTAAACTAGGTATTTTAAGGAAGCCCTCTAACCCTCACTCCGTTTTTTGTTTTTTTACCCATTCACTAACACACGGTTAGAATTTGGCTTTCCATGTCTGAACTACCGTGGTAGGGAGGACACAAGATCTTTGTGGGAGACCGGGAACGTGATGCTGCAGGAACCATTAACTCTCAAGGATATCCAGTCATTTATAACTCTGGCACACACCAACATCCTCCTGGCTTTGGAGATTAGCAAGATGTAAAGTCAGAAAAGAAAATGAAAATCTGAATCAACTATGGCTTTACCTTAAACTGAAAACTGCAGAACAAGAGGACACTGTGTCTCTTGGGGAGAACTTCTAACATTTCATATTGAAGAACGATTTGTGTGTCACACTGCCACTCTAACCCCTTTAAAAGGCTAAATCAAGACCATGGCACTAAGAGGGATGGATGGCAGTCAGCTGCATGTTTGGGCCTGTGAAAAATGATCAAGCTAGCAACCAGGGCAAGTGATGCTTTCGTTTTCTCCCACAACGCCAGAAAAATGGGAGACATCAGGAACCTGAGCTGAAAGGACACGAAGGCATCAGTTCCCTTTAATGGACACCCCTGCTGAACCCTTCAGCTCCAGGCCCATGTCTCTGATTCCTGCTAACCTTCCCGCTCATTCCAATCGTCTGCAGCCCCTGCCCAGCCTTCCTCATCCTTTCCTGCCTGCTACTCACAAATTCCCAACCACTCCTCCCACATTTTCCTCTATCCGCCCTCCCCTTCCTTCACTTCCCTCCATCCTACATCATCTCCACTCCATTCCGAACTCAACCCTCATCCGCAATCCTGCCGGCTTCCAAGCCGCCCATCGGTCCCCCCGAGCTGCCCCCGCAGTCCGGGCCCGCGTCCTCCGTGCCCCTAGCTCCCACGCCTCTCCCGACTCTTTCCCTTCCCGGCGGCGCCCTGGCTCCCCGCCCCCCGACCGCTCCCGTCCGAGCCTCCCTCATTTCTGACCCCTCCATCCGCGCTGCTCTGGGTTGACCACTCCTCCACAGCCGCCCGAGGGCCGATCCCGAGAAAGGACGAGGCGGCACCCTCCGCCCCGCACCCCCAGGCCCATTACCGGCCCCGCCGCAGCTGCCTCCTCCCGTGATGATCTCTGCCGCCCCCGCTGCCGCCGCCGCCGCCCTAGCCCGGGTGGGAAGGAGAGAGGAGATAGCGAGTCCCGGGCCCGCGGCGACGGTCGGGGAGTTCCCAGGGCGGCAGGGCTGGGAGGGAGGGCGGGTGGGCAGGTCGGCCGGCAGGCGGCGGAGGACGGGCGGCTCCAGCAACTCGAGCGCCCCCGGTAGCAGACGCCCAGAACCGCCCCGGCTCCGGCTAACAATAGGCTCCGGCCGCAGCGCTCTGGCTCTTATAGGCGCCGGCACGTCCTGACCGAGCCCCGGGGCAGGCTGGGAAATGGAGTCTACGTGCCAGCCCCACGCCCGCGGCATGCCGGGAATTGGAGGCGGCGACCGGCGCAGAGCCGAAAGTCGTCTGCAGACGGGCTCTGGAGGCGGGGTCTCTGCTGCAGTGGAACCTGGGAAAGCGAGTTTGGAGCCGCTGCAGCCCTTTGAACAGGAAGGGGGACAGCCTCAGCCACAGATCTTCAATGACTAAACGAATCTGCCTCTAAAACTCCCCTTTTCCTTTCGCCAGGACCACACTCGCATGCCTAAAGAACATAATCCCCCTATGCTCGCCCATGGGGGCTTCGTCTTAAGCAGCACAACATGCTGCAGCCTGCCCAAGGTATAGAGAAGAAAATACAATGTATTGAGTTATCGTAATACGTATTGACTGGTTGATGTGTTTCCTATCAAAAATATTCTTACATGATCTCTGATCTTCACAACTTTGCAACTCATTTTTAAGATAGGATAAACGAAGACTCAGAAGTCATAAGTTATATGTCATTTGTCAAGGACACCCAGCCTCGGCTGGTCTCACTCAGAATACGAGTATAGGTCTCTTCTTTGACTTATAAGGCTAGGTACATCCCCTCTCCCTACTACCCTCACCACCCCCCACCCTGTCATCCATCTTGTTTCCTTCTACTTTTCCCCTCCTGTATTCCGTTTTAACTACATTGGCCCATTGGCCTCCTTGCAGTTCCTTCAACGATCGAGCTCTCACCTCAGGGCCTTTTCCCTAGCAGGCCACATACGTACTCCATCACTTAATTATTTGCTCAAATGTCCCCGTATCAGATTTTCCTTAACCATTTTCCTAAAATGGTGCTTCCCCTTAGTCTCTATCCCCTTGGCTTATATATCTTCTTAGCATTTACCACCTGATGTATATTTTTCAGTCTTCTCTCACTTGACTAAATTCCATGACAGCAAGGAATTGCTTTGTTTACTGTATCATGCACCCCGTACAAAGCCTGATATTTGACATTTAGGAACTCACTAGATATTTACTGGATATTTATTGGATGGGTGGCAGGACTTAAACTCAGGCTGGTTCCATAGCCTAGTGTACTTTTCACTGCAACCACGAACTATGGAGCCAGATCTGCTGGTTACCAAGCCATCTCAGTTTATGAACTGAGAAGTAGGCTAACTTGGACAAAATGCCAAAGATTCCAGTCCTCTCACCTAGGTGACATCAGAGGCTCCATGAGGCCAGGAAACAACAGTGCGAGATGAAAAAGCAGATCACAAAAAAGCAGTCCTTAGCGTACCATGTGCTGATCATCTCCCTATCTGCTGAAATTTAGGTACGACATAACATGTAATCCAGAGCCAGACTGCCTGAATACAAACCCATCCCTCCACTCAGTTGTAGTATGACCCTTGGCAAGGTATGTAACTTCCATGTGCCTTAGCTTCCTCATCTGCAAAATGGGGAGGACAGTATGTATTTCATAGGGTTTCATGAACATTAAATAGTTAATATAGTATGTTTACAGTATAGTCAGTGCTATGTAAATGTTCATGATTCTGTCTTTCCTGGACACACAGATAACAAAAAGAGAAAGCCCCAGACAACTCTATAGAATCAGTGAGCGGAATTACAAAATAATAGCCAAAAGGCCATGTTGGTTAGGCTAAAAAAGTGTCTCATATGCCCACGCAGCCACAGTTTGAGTCACAGAAATTCATCAGGGTACCATCAGCCTCAATGCCCACGATTAGTAGGTTAATAACACCAAATTAGAAGATAGCCAAACCAAAGTTAGCACACCCTTTGAAAACATAGTAGAATCCAATTTGGCAATAAGCTCTGTATCAGTCAGGAGATCACCTGGACGTGTAACAAACATCACAACTACATATCACAGAGTCACTTATTCACCACATTTCATTGTCTTAGTAGAATCACTAGATAAGTAATAGTGCCAGTTTGCCCATAATTGCAATTCTGCCCCCTGCCTAAGCAGAGCCTATAGAGGGCAAATGACCAGGAAGCTCAAATGCAGAATAGGAACTACAAAAACAAAGTGAAAAGAAATGCTAATAGCCTTTGATGTCTAAATCTAAATGTTACTGCTTTGTTCCAAACCACACTGTAACATATGTATGAACCAGCTCAGAATACACAACTCACGAATGGGTGGTTTGTTTTAGGGACAAAAATGTCAAAGCAGAACAGGAAGAAAAGACATATGAAAACCAAAGTTTAGATTTTATGTCTTGGGCAGCTTACAAATCTGTCTTGCAGTTATGTCCCTACACATAGAGGTGATTTTGTAATCCTAAATTTATTGAGCAATTGGATAAGGGTACTAAATATAAAACTGTGTTTTATACTCAGTATCCTTTTTAATCTCCCAATCATATGAATTAAGTATGATCTCCTTTTTAAGATGAAAAAGTTGAGGTTTAAGAGAATATTTTGTCCAAGGTCACATCTAGGAAGAGCAAGATTTGAACAGAGACTTATCTGACACCAAAGTATATACTGTATCAACTATTCTTTACCACCAAAACAAGAATACACTCTCGGGCGGGGGGGGGGGGGGGGAGGGCAGTTGAAAATTAATAGGTCGGGGATACTATGTGCTAAACTTCTTAGAGAAAAAGAGTTAACCTGTAGATTTAGCCCTGAGGTTGACATTACTTTACTAATTTACACTTAATTATAATCCAAATCTAGAGAGGTAGGCACTTCTTTGTGACTGGTTGCACAACAACAAAGAGATCAGTATGCACAAATCTGGGGAAAAGTGCCACAGCAATTTAAAGGCACAAACAATGAAGAAGCTGTATGCTTCAGTAAGATTTCAAAAAGGACACACACAAATTGATCTATATGTGTGCACAATACACACCCTGTTTAAAAAAGCAAAATAACAATCAGGTTTAAGGGGGTTGAGTGCGGGGGTGAGTTTAGCGAGGGCAAGCTTAATAAGCCTAAAGGAAGTGAATGGAAGTCTGACGCAAAGTTTTAAAGATGTGTAGGGAAAGATAAATAAAAAATCGGTCATTAGAGTTCAGGAAAAAAAGAAGAATCTGTAGCAATTAAAATGAGGAATGTTTACCTCATCTTACACAAATATATGAAAACACAGATTCCATGTGAGAGACTGGTTAGTACTCATGCCCCCAAAGAGCCCACACAGTACAAAATAGTACAATAATGTAAGTACAATAGTGTTTTTTAAATAGCAAGTTTCCTTATAATTTACATTAATCCAATTGAAAATTTAAATTCATATAGAACTTTTAAACCTCTGAATTTGAGAATGCAAATGCTAGACTTAGGTACAGTTTGTTGATTAGGCCTGTGTTCGTAAGAAATAACACAGAGGAGATCTAGAAGTGAAAAGGAAAGATGAAGAAAAAGAGGAGGAAGTGGAAATAGAGGGACGTTTAAGGTCAAAGGTAAAATACAAGGTCATTAAACGAAGCAAGAAAGAGAAATAAAATACTAAGTCAGAAAAAGAAAAACAGATGCTGATGTCACATAGAGCATCTTTTTTCCATTCCATTTTGCAGTGGTAGTAAATTCTTCCTCATTTAAACCTTAGAGCTTGTATAATGAAACAAAAATTTAACCACAAACAGAAAATAAATATTCTAGCTTTAGGGAAAGCCGTAGCCTACAACTGAGAACATAGATCATTTTAAGGAGAAGCGGAAGAATGATGCAGGATACTCTGTATGAATTTGTACATAAATGATGCAGCTAGGTGGGGCATTTGTGCCATTCCTGTTGAGATTGGAGTTCTCATAACAGACCAGTAGAGGCCACAAACAGATCAAATTCCTATAGAGGAACCATCCACAGCCAAAGAAGCAGAACAATTCAGTAAAATGATAAAACGGCTCAACTTCAGCTCTCCGATCAAGCTATCTGGAATTGTTAGGTATTGGCTAGAGAAAAAAGCTACAGTGAAGAGGGATAAGTTCAGTCTTGACTTCAAATACTTGTACCCCAAATCTGTGTTACTTTCAAAACCAAATGCTGAACCTTCATTCAACCCTTCGCAGTAGTTTAAAAGACAGCCCAAATCTCTGCAACAACCCTGTCCAAAAGATTTGCTGAGGGGCGCCTGGGTCGCTCAGTCAGTTGGGTGTCTGCCTCCGTCTCCGGTCATGATCCCAGGGTCCTGGGATTGAACCTCGCATCAGCCTCCTTGCTCAGCGGGGAGCCTGCTTCTCCCTCTGCCTGCCACTCCCCTGCTTGTGCGTGCTCTATCAAATAAATAAAATCTTAAAAAAAAAAAAAAAAGACAAGACAAGACTTGCTGAGAATACTTGGGGACAAAGGTTTTCAGAACACTCCTCCATTAGGCATAAATTAGAAAGGACCAGTTCCATTTTGCCAAGCCTTCTTCACTCACCAAGCTTCCCCATGCTCCTTCAACCCAGTGGTGAGATCACACTCTACCCCTCACAGCATACCTAGTGCCTGACTGTGCCTGACGTTCAGGAATCAGAGTATCTGCCCCCTTATGTGGACCTTTCTCCGGTCTCCCAGGTTCTGGTTGTCTTGTATTTGATGTACTGTACTCTCTTTCCAGGCACTATGACCATTTCCATTTCCCCTCCCTTTAAATAGCTTCCTGAATAAATCATTTATGTGGGTAAACATTCTTACTAGGCCATAATATTGGACAATCTTATTATTTAATAGCCATATTTCTGTAATGACTAGTACTTAATCCTTGGAGTCCTGCAATGACCTATCCCCTCCTTTTATTTCCCAATAACTCCCTTTTAACTATTAAGTCTTTATATAGCTGATTCTTCTAGATAAAACCTACCCCTTCAAGGGAACAGTACACACAATACTCAAATAGGAGCCTACTCCACTTCTCAGGAGGGTCTAAATCTAACTGTTCTCGCTCTCAAATACCCTCACTCTAATAAAACCATTTAACTATCTACTCAGTTTAAATATCAACTGGCAGGGCGCCTGGGTGGTTCAGTCATTAAGCATCTGCCTTCGGCTCAGGTCATGATCTCAGGGTCCTGGGATCGAGCTCCACATCGGGCTTCCTGCTCTGTGGGAAGCCTGCTTCTCCCTCTCCCACTCCCCCTGCTTGTGTTGCCTCTCTTGCTGTCTCTCTGTCAAAAAATAAATAAAATCCTTAAAAAATAATAATAATAATAAATATCAACTGGCACATTGTTAAAAAGATAAAATCCAGTAAATCTTACTTCTAGGAATATATCTTAGAGGCACATGCAAAAAACTTATGAAGATGCATTTTCAAATGCACTTAACCTAAACATCGATAGGGAATGGCCATCTTTAAAAAGAATAATGTAGAACTATAAATTCTAATAATAGAAAGATGTTCAAGATGTTAAATACAAAAAGCAAATTGGAGACCATTAGTGTAACATGAGCCCATCTGAGTATTTGTCTGTGTGTGAGAGAGGGAGGGACGGAGAGGGATGGGGGTGTTCTAAAATGATTATCTCTTTAGAGTGGGACTAGGAGGTAAGAAGGAAAAGTTAACCCCTCTTTATTGTTTGAGTTTATCATTTTGTGTATTATTTTGATAATAAAAAAGCTAGTTTAAAATTTTCATTTAACTGAAAGGATCAATAATAGTAAATAGATGTGATTCTTAAAAGCAAGTGGAATAATCGCAATGTTCTATCACTATACCAATTCTTACCAATTGTATAGCATTGGCGCTATACTTTTTGGAGCTAAAGAAAGCCTAAACAATTTTCTGGTTAATTTAGGATCTGTGATTGCAAACTTGTATAAATTAATTTCTTTTTTAAAAAGATTTATTTATTTGAGAGAGAGAGAGAGAGTGCACAAGCAGGGGTGGGCAGGGGCAGAAGGAGAGAGAGAGAATCTCAAGCAGACTCCCTGCGGAGCATGGAGCCCGATGCTGATGCCGGGCTCGATCTCATGACCCTGAGATCATGACCTGAGCCAAAATCAAGAGTTGGATGCCCAACTGACTGAGTCATGCACGTGCCCCTATAATTTCTAAATGTATGTATATATTTTTTTCTATAATAAACTTCAAGACTACTCTGAAAAAACTCTAACCTTAAGTAAATTAGTAACTGTAATTTGTGGTAAATATATTAAAAAGATTTCTATATATCATTTGCAGTAAAGAAGAGTCACAGATTCAGAAGGGACCTTAAAGGTTATCTAGTCCAACCCTCCCAGCCTAATATTCAGACCAACCCTCCCAGCCTAATATTCAGACAGAATAATAAAAAAACAAAAACAACCAAAACCAAAAAACTAATAGCAGCCTACTGAGGAGAGAACTGACTTCTCTGAAACTGAGAACAGTCCCAGGAACTTAATACAACCAGAAATGCCCCTCTTCTGAAACAGGGACATCTGGTAATCAATATTTTCATTTAAAAAGTATTTGGCCTAATAATGTCAAGTTACCCAGGTCAGTTTTTAAAAGTCACTTGACTTCACTTTCCAGTTTCAAAGTCTTCAATTTGTTTCAAACCAAAAGAAATCAGACCATGTTGTGGGTTGATTTTAATGAACAAAATTCTCTGTATAAAAACATTTTAACTTTATCAAATGCTTTAAAAACACACACGCACAGATCCAAATCCATTACAGAATCTTTGAACATTATCTTTTTTCACCTCAACATAATGTGTAAAGGGATTTCTGGATAAAACTCTACATGTGAAAAAAGACAACCCATAGTCTTACACGTTTGCACACGCACACACACGCACGCACAGACACACACATACACACTCTTGAAGAACTAAAATAAATGGGAAGAGTGTGACTGGGATAGGAATGAATTCCTCATAAAGCTTATATAAAAGAACACGACATGAGTAAAAGAACTTCCTATACCAAGGAAAGACGCAGAGAGGGGAAAGAGAAAGCAGGGGCTAGCCAAACTCACGAATAAATAGTTTGAGAAGCTCATTCAAGAACAGTGAATATGGGGAGTTCCAGATGACCCCTCATCTTCACCACTTCAGAGTCTGTGAATCTGATAACTGATGATGCTTCAAAAGCACGTATGTTCTCGGTTTTTGTAGCTCTTGATTTGTTCATCATTATTTCGGTGTGGTTTGTGCCTGTCAGTGGTTGCTTCCCCAGCTATCACGTGGTGCTGCGTCCTATCCGCCGGCAGAGCTACGGTCAGAGACGGCGGCAAGCACAGGGTATTGCAAGGGCGGCATTGTGGCTGGCGGGTAAAACGAGCCAGATTGCCCAGGTTTGGGTTTCAGCAACACTGCTTCCTAGCTGCCTGTCGCCCGGCAAGCTCCTTAGCCACTCTGTGTCTCCATGTCCTCTCCTTCGTTAGGGATCATTATTACCTACTTCATAGAGGATCATTAAAGAGGAGTTAAACAAGGTAATCCACTTAAAGAATTTATCACACTATGAGGCACAAGTAAATGCTCAGTAAATGTTAGCTAAAATTACGATTAGTCTTGGTATTACAGGGCGACCAAAAGAAAAATTCTATTCTACCTCTCTGTATTTCTCCTCTTTGGTGAGGTTTTCAGGGGCCGACTGTGGCAAAAGCCAGTATGTATGATGCAAAAGAGACTGAGGATCTAGTCTTAGGAATATAGATGTTCATTTTTATATTAGAAAAAAATCACATGGCTCCATATCACAAACTTTAACATCTTTCCATGAAACATCACACAATTCTCATCACCATTATGCCCTACAAACACCCTAAATGGTGTGGAGTTTCTAAAGATATTCAACGACAACAGGGTCCATAAATTTTAACTAAGAAACCACAGCTGCAGAAATGCATGTTGGGCAATAATCTGTGTGTGCCACAAGAGCTTGGGCCAACAGATGGCTGGGATTCTGCCTCCATGGCCTGGACTCCCCCACACACAGTCAGATGGGTCAGGTTCCTGCAGACCTTCCAATCTCCATTAGCGAGTGACTCCCTTTGAGAGGGAAGCTTCCAAGGGGTGAAGGAGGCAGCGGCCACTGAGGACGGAATGCCCGGCACCTACTTCAGTATGATATGATAGCTATCATTGGTTTCTGCTGTAAAAAAAAAAGAGAGAGAGAGAGAGAGAGAATTATCTTTAGTCATCTCTAAAACACAGTAGGAGAAAAAAACAAAACAAAACATGGTAAGGATCTTTTGAGAAGGGGAAAAAAAAAAAAAAACCCAGCAGGACAAAGCGCAACATATTTATTACCACAAAATACTTACAATAAATATGCATTATAAAAACAACATGCCTTCATTTCCTCATTTGTCCACGGAAGGTGGGAGAGAATGGCAGAGTCATCAGTTACACTTTGTCTATTCTGATAATGGCAAGAAGCCAATTCATACAAAGAAACAATCTCCAAAGATATCACTTTCTCTGCCTCAAATATGGTGGTTGATATTTTCCCTCTCTCCTCAGAGAAGTAAATCATGAAAAAAAAATCTCTTAAACTCCTTAGAGAGGCATCTGTCCTACTATTTTATTACCTTTCATTGTGTCCAGAATAAAACAGGCTTCTTCTTGAAAGTTCTGTATCATCTGAGAAAAGCAAGAAAAGTTGCTTATTATTAAAAACTTGGGTTTGCTGCATTTATTTAGATTATATGACTTTTTATTATACTGGACTTAAGGGAAAAATAATCCTTTGTTTTGTTTTCTCGCGTTCAGTTTTTAAGTTTTAAAAGCTAAGCAGTCTAGGGGCGCCTGGCTGGCTCAGTTGCTAGAGCATGTGACTCTTAATCTCAGGGTTGTGAGTTTAAGCCCCATGTTGGGCTTTGGAGCCTACTTAAAAAAAAAAAAAAAATAAATAAATAAATAATAAATAAAATAAAATAAAAGCTAAGCAGTCTAAAACAACTGATCTTAAAATTATAGGATGCATTTTCCTGATTAACCCCAAGATGTTGCAAGAGTACACGGACACTGGTAGGCCCATTCGGGAGAACCGACTTCAGGTCTTCATCTCCCAAAACTGCCTGAGAACCTCTTCGGTTTTCCCTACCCACTTTCCCTTCTAAACTCCCCTCCCCATTTTATAAAATAAAGGCAGGGCGCCTGGGTGGCTCAGTCGTTAAGCGTCTGCCTTCGGCTCAGGTCATGATCCCAGGGTCCTGGGATCGAGTCCCCCATCGGGCTCCCTGCTCAGCGGGAAGCCTGCTTCTCCCTCTCCCACTCCCCTGCTTGTGCTCCTGCTCTCGCTATCTCTCTTTCTGTCAAATAAATAAAATCTTTAAAAAAAATTAAAATAAAATAAAATAAAAATAAAAATAAAGGCGTAAGTTTCACCCTCCTGGAATCCTACCAAGATGCCCCGCCCCACGGTACAAAAACCTCCAGGATGCCAAAGTGTGATCGTTAATGTGAACTTTAATGACTGGGTAACAAAGTATTTTGTGAGCCACATGGTTTCTAATTCTTTCCTTGCACCAGAACTGAAGACTGACCTAATCACAAACTGTCAAATGATAGGTGATTCAAAGTAATTCTTTGTGACATCACTATATAACTTTTGGCACCTAACTCCAAAGTTCAAAAAAAAAAAAAAAATCCAGTGATGTTTTTATAAAAAATTCCATCCATTTCTGTCTGTCAATTAATCAGACTCCATAGCATTATTAATCTAGGGGGATAAAACAGAACGGAAGTGGTGCTGAGCTCTATTTCATTCTAAAAATCAGTAGAGAGTATTCATCTATACATGAATTAATGTGGGCAGGGTGGGTAGGGAATCAGACAATCCCATCCATCTCATTAATAGACAGACTTCTAATACATTTTTCTTAATGTTTAAAAATTTATCAAAACATATAATACATTTATGTTTATTGATTATATAATTATGGTGATCATTCTATTCAGAAGAAATCATTTTTAAATTTTTACTGAAACAAATTCTTAAGTTGAAGCAAAGTTGTTTCAAAGAAGTATGGTAAGATAATTAATAAAAGATGTTTGAGCATAAAAACAGGTTATGGCAAGATAAAATTCTATGGGAGAAGTGAATGGAAACAGGAGTTCAAGGAAACAAAGAAATGACATAAAAACTCTGTTAAAGAAAAGTATATTCATGTATTTTTTAAGACAGTGATGGTGGTATTACATCATTCTTCTATTTAGGTTACATGAAATATAGTTAGAATAGTGATGTAACCATTTCATTTTTAAAGGTTATATAATATGCCCAGGAATGACATATTTTGCAACTATTTAAACTTAAAACAAAAAAAAAATTTAAGTCAACCTAAAAATGTGCAAGGGGGATACGTGGTTAGAAAGTCAGCAAGCAAAAACATTTGAAAAGCCCTGGTCTCGTAAGCGCAGCCTGTACCCCAGGAGGACGGCCCTTGCTCCTGTCACACGCCCTGACAAACTGGCATGTGGTGATTGAGCTGCGCTGAAAATCTACCTCATCGCTAATGAGCACATGGATTCCTGTTGGCCCCTGCTTGTAGATCTGGCTGATCTGGCGAGGGGAAATGCTGAAGAGCTGAGCAATTTTTTCTGTCAGTTCAACAGCTGTCAGTTCTTCTAGATAGATGGCGTGGTACACTGCAAGAGGGACAGAGCAAAGGGAGTCAGTACAGGCTTCTCTGCTCTTAAAGGTAACCCAGTCACTAGGAATGCCCGCTCTTCCAAAGGACTCACAGACTGCCTGAGTTCAAATTCTGGCTCGGCCACCTGCTAGCTGTGTGACTGGCGTGAGTTACTTAACGTCCCTGAGCCTCATTTTCCTCACCTACATGTTGGTGAGAACAATAAAGGTACTGCAAAGAAGACACACCAGTTGTAAAGAGTAAAGCATGTAAACGTGCTGAGCATAGTGCCCGGTCTCTGGGAGGAACTCCATGAACGTGAGCAATCACCATTATTCTGGCAAATGCGCACTCTGCTGTCTGAGGCATTCCCACCGCACGGGCTCCTACGTCATCTCCTCCCCTCGCCTCAGTATGTGTCCTGGCCTGTCCAGAAGGACCTACCGAAGAAAGTACCATTTGAGTCTCCATCCTCACGCTTCTGCTGCTGCTGCTGCTGCTCCCTCAAGTGCAAGGACTCCTGACAAACATAAATGGTTAGCCTTGGCCGCACCATCCTGAGGAGGAAAGCGAGGCTGTTAGTCTCAGGGTCTTGGCGGGAAGCACGTTTTAAGGGAGAACCTGTGTGTCTGGGTTAGCACTAGAGGGCAGAGTTGCAAGCGGGCAGCCCGCGGGCCAAGGAAGCTCATTTGCTGCTTCATTAGCTCTCCGCTGGGGTGGATGTGCGCGCGCGTGCGTGCGTGCGTGCAGTTCGACTGAATCCATTCCAACATCATACAAACCTCTGCAATTTTGGCTTTTCTCGAAAAATCAGATCTGGCAATCTGAGGCCCTCATTCTTACAAGAAAACAACTGGCTGTTTTTGCATTGACCCATGCATTCTTCACTACACCCCAGATTTGACGGTTGCACATTTACATGTGGCCTTTGAGTTTATCATTTAGGATCACTTGAGTTTATCATCCTTGATGTAAACGTTAGAAATATTCAAAACGAGGGCGCCTGGGTGGCTCCGATGGTTGAGCGTCTGCCTTCGGCTCAGGTCATGATCCCAGGGTCCTGGGATCGAGTCCCGCATCGGGCTCCCTGCTAGGCGGGGAGCCTGCTTCTCCCTCTGCCTCTCTCTCTCTGTCTCTAATGAATAAATAAATAAAATCTTAAAAAAAAAAAAAAAGAAATATTCAAAACGTGTGAGCTGCTGCTGCATGGGTCCGGCTCAACATGTACCTTCTCCTTAGAAGGGCCACTATAAAACAGAGAATCTTAGTTCCCTCATTACCTTCTCCTAAGCAGCCTAAGCCTTCTGTCTCTTCTTACTTCTTAGACAATGGTATTCAATTACCTCTTGATTTGATCATCTCATTCCTATTTTTAAACACTCTTTTATGGGGCCCTTGGGTGGCTCAGTCGGTTAAGCGTCTGCCTTCGGCTAGGGTCATGATCCCACGGTCCTGGGATCGAGCCCCGCGTCGGGCTCCCTGCTCAGTGGAGAGTCTGCTTCTCCCTCTCCCTCTGCCTGCCTCTCTGCCTACTTGTGCTCTCTATCTCTGTCAAATAAATAAATAAAAATCTTTAAAAATAAATAAATAGGGACGCCTGGGTGGCTCAGTCGTTAAGCGTCTGCCTTCGGCTCAGGTCATGATCTCAGGGTCCTGGGATCGAGTCCCGCATCGGGCTCCCTGCTCAGTGGGGAGCCTGCTTCTCCCTCTCCCTCTGCTTGTGCTCTCTCTGTCAAATAAATAAAATCTTTAAAAAATAAATAAATAAATAAATAAATAAATAAATAAATAAATAAACGCTCTTTTATTTTTTAAGAGACAGCACATGTGTGCGTGCATGAGCAGGGGCGGAGGGGGGAGAGCCCCGCTGGGAGGTGTTTGGGGGGGCTGGGGGAGGAGCAGAGGGAGAGAGAGAGAATCTTAGGCAGGCTCCACACCCAGTGCGGAGCCCAAGGAGGGGCTCAATCTCATGACCATGTGATCATGACCTGAGCTGAAATCAAGACTCAGACTCTTAACTGACTATATCACCTAGGTGCCCTTTAAATGCTTTTTAAATAAATAATATGTTAAAAAAAATGAAGATCCTCCGGGCGCCTGCGTGGCTCAGTCGTTAAGTGTCTGCTTTGGCTCAGGTCATTATCCCAGGGTTCTGGGATCGAGCCCCACATCGGGCTCCCTGCTCAGCGGGGAGCCTGCTTCTCCCTCTCCCACTCCCCCTGCTTGTGTTCCTGCTCTCGCTGTCCCTCTCTCTCTGTCATATAAATAAAATCTTAAAAAAAAAAAAATGAAGATCCATTCTTTTTTCTCCAAATCACCAACCTCTGATTTTTTCCTCTTTTCTTTAAAAATTTCCAAGATTAGAGCCAACCTGACTCAACATTTCTTGTGATATACCCAAACAAAATACTTTACGATCTGTTTCATTATTTAGTCACTCATTTGGTTCTATGGCATTAACCTGTATGTTTTTTCCATTAATCCTATTACCTATTTGAAACTGAAAATGCCAAATAGGGACTACAAGTTACTCTGTTTTATAATTTGTAAGTGGACACTTAAGTAGTTCCTATCCAATTCAAGAATGACCTCTTCCCCAGTTAAAATGGACTCAGGGCCCTTGCACCTGTTGTTCCTCCTGCCTAGAGTGCTCTTCCCTCATATGACCCCATAGCTTCCATCCTTCTGATAATTCAGTTTATTTATTTATTTTTTAAGATTTTATTTATTTGGGGCGCCTGGGTGGCTCAGTTGTTAAGCGTCTGCCTTCGGCTCAGGTCATGATCCCAGGGTCCTGGGATCGAGCCCCACATTGGGCTCCTTGCTCTCCGGGAAGCCTGCTTCTCCCTCTCCCACTCCCCCTGCTTCTGTTCCTTCTCTCGCTGTGTCTCTCTCTGTCAAATAAATAAATACAAATCTAAAAAAAAAGATTTTATTTATTTATTTGACAGAGACAGAGATAGCTAGAGAGGGAACCCAATCAGGGGCAGTGGGAGAGGGAGAAGCAGACTCCCCGCTGAGCAAGGAGCCCGACATGGGACTCAATCCCAGGACCCTGGGATCATGACCTGAGCCGAAGGCAGACGCTCAATGACTTAGCCACTCAGGCGCCCCTCATAATTCAGTTTAAACACCCCTGCCTCAGAGAGGTCTTTCCTGACCATATTCTGGGTACTCTACAGGTTATAACCTTGTTTTTGTTTGTTTGGTTTTCCTTCAAAGCACTTATCACTATCGAAAATATTCACTGTTCATATTTTTATCTCTCCCCCCATTAGAAAGTAAATTCATAATAATGGGTCCCTTGTCTATTTTCTCACCAATGTATCCCCAGAGCCTACAATAGTACCTGGCTCATATTAGGGATACAGAGTATTTATCAAATGAAAAAACTACCTAGAAATGAAAAATGGGATATCATGAGGAATTCCTTAGATCTACTGTAGGAAAAGATATTTTTCATCTTCATTTATCTGGTACATAGCTGGCATTCAAAAAGAATGTTTCGACAAGATGTAGTGAGCTGTGCAAAGAGTACTATGAAGAGTCCCTGAATCCAAATCCATTTGAATTTCAACCTCACTGATATTTTTACACTAATTACATACCGGCCTTTTAATGCATTAAAAAGTCGGATTCCATCAGCAGGGCCACAGATTTGGATCACATCATCTCTAGTTAGTTTCAATAAATCTGCCCCTGGAATAAATATAAGAAAATGGGTGATAAAGGCAAAGACTATCTTTGTTTATGACCACTGAAATGGCTCTGTCATGTTATAGTTCATCATCTTTTGCATGGTACATAATTCTCCATGACCTGGCCCGTTTCCTCTCTCACTTCAACTGCCACCCCATTCACTGATCCACTTAACCCCATGCTTTCATCATACTGATGAGGTCTAATGAGCACGCTATCCCTCCTCCCTGAAATATCCTTCTATTGTCCAACCAACAGACTCCTCCTTATGCCCCAAGATTTACCTCACGCATTACACGTGTTCCCTAACCACAGACACTCTCCCAATACCCTGCTTCATACCACTTATCTACTGCATCACAACGATTTCCTTATTTTTTTCAGGGTTTTATTTTGATTTGATTCGGGTTTTTGTTTTTATACTAGATGATGAATGATCAGAAGGTAGGCCTTACCCATTTGTGTATTCCTATCATACCTGGTACCCAGAAGGTGCTTAATAAAAGTGGAACGTGCAAATACAATACAGTGATTTCAAGGGGGAAATTTCAGACTACCTACAAATGCCCTTGATAAAATACTGTATGGAATATACATTTTAAAAAGTATTGTATAGAATAAATATTTTTAAATTAAAGTGAGTTTAAACTAAGAAGTCTCTCTTTTTAAGTATTTCACAGCACAGATGCCGCTGGTGAGAAAATCTGAAGGGTTCTATGAAATTCACTTAATCCTAAAAATGCATGAAGATCTCTCCTTCCCTTCCTCCCTTCCTCCCTCTCTCTCTCTCTCTCTCTCTCACACACACACACACACACACACACTCACATGGATACTAGGAGGCCCTAGAATGTAAAGGAATATCCTGTGTTGGGAAAAACAAAAGGACAAATGAATTTAACCTGAGAAGTTTGTAAAAAGCCTTGTGAACGTAGAAAAACGATTTCGATGCAACCACTGCTGAGCTTCCTGAGGTGTGGTTGTTGGCAAGAGGTTCTGAAAGAGAAAGCAAGCATTTTTTTTTCTTTTTTTGGTAACTGAAGAGATTTATCTCTTACATCATTAGGTAACATAGAGCTAAACACACCCACACTCAGACAGGCCTAGTTTGCTTGGAAGTTGTTTATACCTCATCAATATTCTTTCCCTGACCATGCAAGAAGCCCATGGAATTCTATCCTTATCTTCCTTACTAAACTGTAAGCTCTTTAAATGCAGGGGTCCTGCATTAACTTGTTTCACATCCCTGGTCCCTAGGTTAGTGTCTAGTTCATAGTCAAAATTCAATAAACGTCGGTTTAATGAACGAATAAATATTATTCCTTAAAGGTTGGACATTTCTAATGACCTGCACAGTTATCAAAGTATTAGTAGACATTGCAAATAACTTACATTTAACTTTAGACTTACATCTGTCACTGGAGGGGGTGGCTCTGGCTGGTGGTTTGGTGAACCATTTCTAAGGAAATATTGAAAATGAAAAGGATGAGTCCATGACACATACTAGGTTCATCATCTCACAGTAAGTCTCAAGCTAGAGATTTTTTTTCTTTTAAGATTTTATTTTTAAGTAATCTCTACACGCAACGTGGGGCCCGAAACTACAACTGCAAGATCAAGAGTTGAGGGCTCCACCGACGGAGCCAGCCAGGCACCCACCAAGCTAGAGATCTAAAGGAATCTGTGCTCTCTCCTAAAGCAGTCTTAGTCTGATAGTCAATTCTTCTATTATCTGTTAATTTAACATTAAGATTATGGGGAGAGGGGAAGAAACTGTCACTTGCAACCTTTATTATTATTGGACAAATTGAAAAAATATCAAAATTCCAGTAAATTGCGTTTAATTAGATAAATTATGGCATGAACAATATTTAACATAAGAAATGTATAATAGAAACAAAAATATCAGAACATAAAAGTAATCAATATATCACTATTATATTAAATATATAAATATACACACAAACATATACAGGAAAAAATACCAGAAGAAACTTTATGCAATGCAATGTAATCACATACTTTTATAATGAAAACCAAATTATTTTTAAAGCAGCTTCGAAAATTAGTGCTGCCTAATTTGCAATCCACGGGCTCTCTCTCCACCCTCTGTTTTTCTCCCTGTATTTCCTTTTGTTTTAAGGATTGTCCCTATTTCCTAATGCTTACTTCTTTTATGGGAGAAAAATTTGAGTCTAATAAAAAAGTAATGACAAAGAGAAGAGAAAAAACTTTAAAACACAACTCTTAAATCCTATATATTTATAATTGCCTAGGGGTGCCTGGCTGGCTCAGTCAGAAGAGCATGTGACTCTTGATCTCAGCGCTGAGTTCAAGTCCCAAGTTGGATGTAGAGATTACTAAAAAAAAAATAAACTTTAACAAACATAAAAAATAAAAATAAAATTGCCTATAAGTAGACTTCATAATCCATATGGATGGTAAGAGATTTTTCTTTCAAAATAGATCTTCTTTTTCTTTTTTTGCCTCAGCTGCAAAATTTAAATTCAGTATTCAAATTTAGTAATTAACTTATCACCAGGCCCTTACTACCTATTCCCTCTATAACTTCTACCTATTTTCATTTTTTTTTTAAGATTTTATTTATTTATTTGACAGAGAGAGACACAGTGAGAGAGGGAACACAAGCAGGGGAGTGGGAGAGGGAGAAGCAGGCTTCCCGAGGAGCAGGGAGCCCGATGCGGGGCTCGACCCCAGGACCCTGGGATCATGACCTGAGCCAAAGGCAGACGCTTAACGACTGAGCCACCCAGGCGCCCCTTACCTGTTTTCATTCTTAACTGTTATATTTTGAATAGTGAAGCTACCTTAATTATTTTTAGAAGCAGACTGAACATAGAGCCTACATAAATTCAAAAACAAACATTACAGCCAAAAAAAAAAAAAAAAAAAAATCACACATTCAGTAGCCTATTTTAAATTTCAATATGACCTACATGGAATATGTGTCAAATGCTAAGACTAAAGACAACTTATTTTAACTGGAATAGGCAACTGTACCAACTTTCAATTATCTCTGATGATAAAAGACAATAAAGCAAGAATAAATGTATCCCATAGATAATTCTAAAACTTCATTTTAGCTATCATCTTCAACCTTCTTCCCCAATTATCAAAGATCCATAATTATTAGGTAAGATCATTCTCTCTCTCTTTTTTTTTAATGATTTTATTTATTTGAGAGAGAATGAGAGAGAGAGAGAGCACATTAGAGGGCGGGGGGGGGGGGGGTCAGAGGGAGAAGCAGACTCCCCGCTGAGCAGGGAGCCCGATGTGGGACTCGATCCTGGGACTCCAGGATCATGACCTGATCCGAAGGCAGTCGCTTAACCGACTGAGTCACCCAGGTGCCCTAGGAGCATTCTTAAAAAGTAACAGAACAGGGGCGCCTGGGTGGCTGTCGGTTAAGTGTCTGCCTTTGGCTCCAGTCATGATCCCAGGGTCCTGGGATAGAGCCCTGCATTGGGCTCTCTGCTTATTGGGGAGCTTGCTTCTCCCTCTCCCTCTGCCTGCCTCTCTGCCTACCTGTGCTCTCTCTGTATCTGTCAAACAAATAAATAAAATCTTAAAAAAATAATAAAATTATTTTTAAAAAAGTAACAAAACAGATTTTCGTGTTTGTACGACTGTATTTCAGTTCCTGAGGACCACTCTGGTGAAAGTATGCACAGGAAGTGAAATGACCACAAGATAAGCAGTGACAGGGAGAAGTGAAAAGCCCAGAAAATCCGTCTCTAATCACTAAAAACTGACTACAAATGCTGGTTTTTTTTTTCTTTAAATGCTGTTTTCTAATAGGAAGAAAAAGAGCAGGAGAAAGGACTACATAAAACTCTTTTCAGTCACTTTTGAAGATAACCCAAAGCTCAATTAATCCACAGATCCATCAATGGATTTATTGATTTAGAAAGAGCTTCTACATGGGAAGATAATGAAAGAAGACATATTTAGGACAAACACAACCTAATTTCATTTCCCACACTTACCCTTCCCCAAGAGAAAAACTGCTATGGGAACTGTTGAAGCCAGGTGATGGGGAATTATTGACATATGTGATCTCAGGCCATGGAGAACACTAAAAACAAAGAACAACTTAAATACTGAAAAAGTACATTTGACCCTAGTGTCCCACCAAAACATTGTTACTTGAATAGCACATCTTGATTAGTAAATCTTAACTGCACAGAGGTCCCTATGATTAAGAGAAAATATACCCAGGACAAGTAAATCTTGACCAGGCTAGAACTTATGGGTTTGTTTGTTTGTTTTTTTTAACTGAGATGTAATTGACATAGAACATTGTATTACTTTCAGGTGTACAATATAATGATTTGATATACGTATATAGTGCGAAATGATGGGATTTTCTTTTAAGAATAGGAAGTATTGATTGAAATCATCACCAAAAGAAATCCTTTCACCTCTGTGAGTATAGTTGTCTCATAGGAAGGCTGGTATTTCTCCTTTTCGTGAGGTGTTCGTTTCTCCATTTTCTCCCGATCCGTTTTTTGCTTTCTGTCTGCACCTTTGGGCTGGAAAGAGAAATGTTTTGTTTTGACTCATCAATTGACTTTTGATCCAACAATATTACCTTAAACAGTCCCATGCGAAACAAGGATGTATGTACAATGATATAAAGACAAGATGCATCCTTGCATCTAAGTCTGAAAATAGAAAATTTAACTGTGTGATGGAGTTGAAAAAGAATAAGAGATCTATAGCGACGGACATGGAAAGATCTCTAAAGCACATAGCTAACTGAAAAAAAGCAAGCCTCATAACAATTTATACAGTACAATCCTATTGATGTTTCAAAGAAAAGAAAATATGTATATACTTATGTACATGTGTATATAAAAGCACAGAAGGGGACTGGAAGGATACATGCTAAATTATGACAGTGGCAACCTCTAGGAAAGGCTGGGAAGTCAGGGTAAAAGTGGTAAAGGGGGACTTCGGTCTGAATACTTCTGTATTAATGAATCTTTTGCAATGAGAATACATTTATATTCATATGATAAAAACAAATAAAGACCAATTAACAAAAGAAAGTCAAGTACCAATGTAACCAAAACTATCAACATTTCATAATTTTGTGAGCTTTTACAAGAGCTTGTAATTTCAACAGACTTTAAGAGCTTTCAGTGAAAAATCCATGTTTTAGCCTCTAGCTCCCTTTCCAAGTTCCTCTTCTCCCATGCCCATCCCCATATAAATTCATTACCAGGCATCTCAGGGATTATCTCAAGGACTCTAGCGTAGAGGGAGTTTTCACAGTTGTTGAAAAAAGCCAAGGTGACTTTCTGACTTGGTAGCTAATGTTAAAATTGAAAGATGAGGGAAAAGGATACAAGGGACAGCAGGAGGCCCAGGAATACCTTGAAGACTTTGATCTGGCAGCTGGCTGAGTGTAAGTGCTCAGTATATTCCCCATTTTCATTTTCCTTGAAGGTATCAATTTGTACTCGGAACGGCACTCCCTTTTCTCCTCCATGCTTCCTCATAGTGAACTCTGTGCTAATGCAGTGTACCTACAGAGAATACAGCGTCCAGGTTTCAGTACTGCTAGCTACCCACATCAGGCAACAATATTTTCTGAGCAACTACTAACAGCAAAACCTTGAAAAACACTATGAACATCTATAAAAACAACTTTTATGCTAAGGGCACCTGGCTGGCTCAGTCGGTAGAGCATATGACTCTTGATCTCAGGGTCATAAATTCGAGCCCCACGTTGGGCATAGAGTTTACTTAAAAACATCTGTGTAGGGCGCCTGGGTGGCTCAGTTGGTTAAGCGACTGTCTTCGGCTCAGGTCATGATCCTGGAGTCCCTGGATCGAGTCCCGCATCGGGCTCCCTGCTCGGCAGGGAGCCTACTTCTGCCTCTGACCCTCCCCCCTCTCATGTGCTCTCTCTCTCTCATTCTCTCTGTCTCAAATAAATAAATAAATAAATCTTAAAAAAAAAAAAAACACATCTGTGTAAATAAAGTCTTAAAAAAAAAAAAACAACAAAACTTCTAGGAGCTCCTGGGTGGCTCAGTCGGTTGAGCACCTGCCTTCGGCTCAGGTCATGATCCTGGGGCCCTGGTATTGAGTCCTGCGTCAGGCTCCCTGCAGGGAGCCTGCTTCTCCCTCTGCCTCTCTCTCATGAATAAATAAATAAAATCTTAAAAAAAAAAAAAAAAGACTTTAAGGGTTGCCTCGGTTAAGCATCTGACTCTTGATTTCGGCTCAGGTCATGATCTCAGGATAGTGAGATCGAGGCCTATGTTGTGCTTTGCGCTCGGTGCAGAGACTCCCTGAGATTCTCTCTCTCCCTCTCCCTCTGCCCCTCCCTGTGCTTACATTCGAGTGCTCTCTTGCTCTTTCTAAATAAATAAAATCCTAAAAACAAAACAAAAAAACGTTTACTCTCTTTTAGATCTTAAAGAATGGATATTCTAATGGAGGAAATAAGGAAGCTTAATTATTACAAATGAAACAAAGCAGGGGCGCCTGGGTGACTCAGTCAGTTAAGTGTCTGTCTTCAGCTCAGGTCATGATCCCAGGGTTCTGGGACTGAGCCCCACGTAGGGCTCCCTGCTAGGCCGGGAGACTGCTTCTCCCTCTCCCTTGGCCATTCCCCCCCTGCTTGTGTTCTCTGGCTTGCTCTCTCTCTCTGGCAAATAAATAAAATCTTAAAATGAAACAAAGTAAATATACAGATCCAATGCTAACAAAAGTACTGGGAGAAACTAAATTCATTAACTGTTTTAGAGAATACAGAGTTAATATAAAAGAGAAATGATTTCGGGTTAGTAAAAGTTTCCTGGACTCTAAGGTAGACTTTAGAAAGCAGAGGCACCATCCATGCTGGGAAACTAGCAAATATGAAAACTCATATTTGGGGAAAGAAAGGTTTGCAAAGGCTTGCTTGGTACTGCGTAAAGTGAAGACCCTGGTGAATCTTAACAGTGAAACCTTGACTGACCAAATATTAGCTTAGGTACATTGTTAATTTCTCTAAGCCTCAAAAACTATTTCTACTCCATAGGACTACTGCTGAAAGTTTTAAATAAAATTATATATATGAACTGTTTACTTAACATAGTGACTATCTAATGGGACATAATAAACCATAGCTTTCTTTATTACAAGTAAGAATTTTAATATTACAAATAAGAATTTTAAAGGAATCTACTCAACAGACATAATCAGATATGTAAAACAAATTTTAAGCATAAAGATGTTCAAAATAACTTTACAGATAATAGGGAAAATGTAGAAGAATCTAAATGCTAAATAATAGGGAAGTTATAGTGCATCCAAAGAATGGAATATTATACAGCCATCAGCAAGCGTTTTTTGGTTTGTTTGTTCGCTTGTTTTTTATTTTGTTTTGTCATACAAATAAATTGGGGAAATTAGAAGGGCAATTCAGACACTCCTCATTGCCCTCAGGCAAGTGCTGAGGAGTCTGGACTTGACAGTCAGGCTGGAACACTGTAAAAATTTCAAATTTAACATGTTTTATCCTTCAAGAAACAAACTGGTAGGGGATTCTGGGTGGTTCAGCAGGTTAAGCATCCGACTCTTGATTTTGGCTCCAGTCATGATCTCAGGGTCCTGAGATCAAGCCCTGCGTCAGGCTCTCTGCTCAGTGGGGAGTCTGCTTGGATTCTCTCTCTCCCTCTCCCTCTGCCCCCCCCTCTGCTCATGTCCATGCGCGCTCTCTCTCTCTCTCCCCTAAATAAATAAATAAATCTTAAAAAAAAAAAAAAGAAAAAGAAACAAATTGGTAGTAAGAGATGCTCTTCATAACTGGAACCCCATCTGCAATGCTCTACCTGAATAAACACAGATGTCCTCTTTGCCGGGTCCCACAGGAACTCCACTGTATTCAGTTGGGTTGGATTAGCTCTAGGATCGATTATACCAACAGACATTGGGATATCTGAGAAACAAAATGGTAATCACTGAACAATTCTGAGGACTATTGGGTTTAAATAAGATAGCACCGATTGTTTTATTATTGGTCCCTAGTTACCAAGATTTTTATGTATCACACCCTAAACCTCTTGTCAATGGAAAGGGTTTGATTAGAGCTAATTTTGACCTAAGTACTTTCCTTCTGAGTATCTTTTTTTCCATTTTAAAAGGTTTTTTATTTTTTTTTTATTTTTTTATTTTTTTTTAAAGATTTTATTTATTTATTTATTTGAGAGAGAGAGAGAGAGAGAGAAACAGCATGAGAGGGGATAGGGTCAGAGGGAGAAGCAGGCTCCCCGCCGAGCCGGGAGCCCGATGTGGGACTCGATCCCAGGACTCCGGGATCACGACCTGAGCCGAAGGCAGTCGCTTAATCAACTGAGCCACCCAGGCGCCCTTAAAAGGTTTTTTAAATAAGACAATTTAAACGTAGTTTCCTTTTAATCTGCCAAAATTCTACTTAAAGACAGACTTAGTCTACACACTAGCTCTAGTGTTATGAAAATTGTAATATAATCTGCTTCACTTACAGTTTTAGGATTAGTGTTACTGATAGAAGTACACTAACAAGATTGCTATAGAAATATAAAGCAGAGTGTCTGAATAAAGGCAGAAGCATTGTATTACAGATAGAAGTGGGAAAAATTTAGGGGCGCCTGGGTGAATCAGTCATTAGGCATCTGCCTTCGGCTCAGGTCATGATCTCAGGGTCCTGGGATCAAGCCCCGCGTCGGGCTCCCTGCTCTGCAGGAAGCCTGCTTCTCCCTCTCCCACTCCCCCTGCTTGTGTTCCCTCTCTCGCTGTGTCTCTCTCTGTCAAATACATAAATAAAATCTTAAAAAAAAAAAGAAGTGGGAAAAATTTAACATAGGGATTGATGCTGGCCTTAAAGTCATCAAATAACCCTGTAACAGAGCAACAAATCTGATACTCAAGAGGGAAGCAAAAATGAATGAGCTCCAGTAGAATGCTGCTTTCCATTCTATACAGCATATAACCAAATATTATTCCCTGACTTCTCCTATTAATATTCAAACTGGGGAGAGAAAGCCAGGCTGATATTTATGATCATAACTGTGCTATCACTATACTACTGTTTTACTGTCAATTCAAACAACAAGGTGGGTCCAACTGTGCTCGTTGTATTGGATTTATCCTAAGGTCAATTTATTAAGTGGATATCTGTATAAGAATCAGTGTTTTCTCAGGTAAAATTAGTAGGTACTTAGATTTGTTCAACAACTGTTTACTAGTAGGAGATAATGACCAATAAGAGATCAAAGACATAGATGCCAGGATTAAAAATACATTCATGAAGAGAGACTGCACGTATGTTTGTAAAGGAACTTTCCTTAAACCCTATGATTTAGGAAAAATAAATTCTACCCTATGTAGCAAAGCAGTAGGGGAAAAACCTAAATTGTAAATCAAGAGGCATAGATTCTAATCCCAGGTCTCTTACTTTAGGTAAAACAAACCACTAATCTGCCTCTCAGTTATTAGTAAAATAAAAGAACTTGCAGCAATTTGGGAAAAAAACCTGGCCTCTTTTACATACACACAAAACAAAATATCAGACCCTGAATAGCCAAAATAATCTTGAAAAGTAATCTTGAAAGGTAAAGTTGGAGGTGCCACGTTTCCCGATTTCAAAACTTACTACAAGGTACAGTTATCAAAATAGTATGGTACTGGCATAAAGATGGAGACACAGACAAATAGAACGAACACATTAGAGAGTCCAGAAATGAGTCCTCACATACAGTCAAATGATGGCTGACAAAATTGCCGAGACCATTCAGTGGGGAAAGAACAGTTGTTTCAACAAATGGTGCTGGGAAAACTGAATATCCACATACAAGAAATGAAGGCAAATTCTTACCTTATACTATATGCAAAAATTAACTAAAAAATGGATCAAACACCTAAATGTAAGACCTAAAACTATAAAACTCTTGGCAGAAAACATACCAGGAAAAGCTTCATTGGGTTTTGTAATATTCTTAGATATGACACCAAAAGCATAGGCAAGGCAATAAAATTATTAAATAAACTGGACTACATCAAAATGTAAAACTTTCATGCGTCAAAGGACAATTATCAACATGGTGAAAAGACAACCCACACGGAATGGAAGAAAATATTACAAATCTTGTATCTGATATGGGGTTAATATCCAGAATATATAAAGAATGCCTACAACTCACAACAACAAAACCAACCAACCAGATTAAAAAATGAGGAAAGGACTTGAATATACATTTCTCCAAAGAAGATACATATATGGCCAATAAGCACATGAAAAGACACCCAACATCACTAATCATTAGGTAAGTATAAATCAAAACCACAATGAGATAACCACTTCACATCCATTAAGAAAACAGCACATGTTGGCAAGGACGTAGAGTATTTAGAACCCTTGTTCACTTCTGATGGGAATGCAAAATACACAACTGCTATGGAAACAGTATGGCGGTTCCCCCAAAAATACAAAATGGAATTACCATACGTGATCTAGCAGTCCCATTTCTGGGTATATATTCAAAAGAACTGAAAGCAGAGACTGAACTAAATATCTGTATACCCATGTCCATAAGCTGCATTATTCACAATAACCAAAAGGTAGAATCAACCCAAGTATCTACTAAAGGATGAATGGATAAATAAAATGTGGTATATATACATATACACAATGGAATATCATACAGTCTTTAAAAGGAGGAAAAATCTGATGCATACTACTATATGGATGAACCCTGAGGATTAGGTTAAGTGAAATAAGCCAATCACAAAAAGACAAACACTGGATGATTTCACTTATATGAGGCACGTAGAGTAGTCAAATTCATATGAACAAAAAGTAGAATGGTGGTAGCCAGGGGCTGGGGAGAAGGGGAATAGGGAGTTATTGTTTAATGGGTACAGAGTTTCAGTTTTGCAAGATGAAAAAAGTTCTGGAGATGGATGGTAGTGATGGCTACATAATGTGAATGTATTTAATGTCACTGAATTATTTATTTTAAAATGTTTTATAATGGTAACTTTTAGGTTATATATATTTTACCACAACTAAATTAAAAAAACAAAACCAAAAATAAAATCACCCTAAAGTAATGGACGCAATTGTTATCGAACTGAAGTGTCTACACTTCCAACTTTAATTTTGGTATTATCATCCCAGTAGTTTTTTTTATGCTTAGTCAATAAACACTTCAGGGTTTATGCTAATTGAGCCCCTGAGGTACTCTGAATCAATGTAAACATCAAGTAAAGAAAACCAATTCTCAGACCATACTTACAGGCATTTCCTGGGCAATAGATTCCCTTAACTCACCAATGTCAAGAATTCTATCTCCAGGTCGGTTCCACCTCCAGCCCTCCAGCTGCTGATGTTCAGTATACTGTAGCCGTCGGTCATGGAACACTACACGGAATATACTCTAAATGGAAGCAACAAAATCAAATGATAATAGGATCCTTTAAAAAATCAGTGCTTATAATGGGAAACCACCAGAAGTCACCTCCAGTTTGTTTCTAGATACAATCTAAAATTATTTTTCTTAAGATTTGTTTCATTCTAAAACCCATACCATACCAAACTCTATTTGAGGGTAAATTTTATAATTGCTCAGATATAATCTTTATAGTTAACTGGTACCATATTTAAAACGTGGCTTAAACATCAGTCCTCATGGACCGGGCAGAAAGGACTCTTACTGGAAGCATTTCTACCTGTCTCTACCATTACCATGTAATAACCAGCTCAGCTCTTCAGGTGTATATGAAAAGCTCACCAAGTTCCCTGCTTGCTAACCCACCATACAACACTGAGGGTAAGCCGGGCTTGTATCTATCAACTTTCCTTTTGTTATTCTTACTTTGAGGAGGTGTTTATTAATATCCCTCCCACTAACTTTTACAGCTGCTGACCAAATTCCTCTGTCCCAATTGTGCTGTGAATTCATTGCTACAAGTCTAGACTAAGAAAACTGCTATTCATCAACAGAAGTTTGTTTTTCTTGCTACTAGACCACATATGCAAAGAGACACAAGTTTCTCTAAAAATCTCAAGGGAGTCACTCTATTCCACCCCAAACAACTTCACTGAACCAGGAGACTCCTTTGACATGTAGTAAGCCTTCTGTTTTTGCAGCTCTGAAAAATCCATGTGAATGAGGGGGCTCACTCTCACTCCAAAGAAAGAATAGTTTACCACTCTGCCAGCAAATTGTAGTAGCTAAGAGACAGCACCAAGCCCTTTATGGAAGCAAAAGAACATTACCCAAAAAGGGTCAGTAAAAGGATATTGTGCAGAGGATTGATTTACTCATTTTCTTTTACCTTCACCAACTTGCCATTAATTTCTGGAAGTTCTCCAAGTTTCCTATTGTCTAGCATACGAATTTCATAAGACTGTCCTGGAAGAAAAAGTTACTATATATTATATTCATCATAAATTAAGTTTGCAAGATTCAGAAAGAATAAAATTCAGCTGGTTGAATATACAAGAGTATAATATTGTTAGTATTAGTAACAACTATACTCCTTTACTATATGCCAGACACAGTGCTAAGTGTTCACATATTATATCATTAGTTGATACAATTCTCGAAAGTATTATCAATCCTATTTTTACAGATAAAGGAATTGAAATGTAAAGAGTTTAAGTAACGTATCCAAGGTCACACAACTGGTAAATAGAGCTGGGTAAGGATTAGAAAGAAAGAGGGAGATAGGAAGTAAAATCGGTAAATAAAAGAAGCCACTGATATACATCAAATATGACATAAAAGTGCAAATCTCTGATGTAAGGCTTCAACTCTGACAGCTCACACTAGAAAGACGTACTTTTTACATAAAAGTACACCTAATAAAATGTCAGCAATCCATCAGATCTTCAATACTACTAACAAATAAGGAAGCCTCTAACCTTGATTGAGATACGTCAGAGTTTCATCATGGAGTTTCACTGCTGGAGACGTGGCAGCACAGAGCACATATTGAAAAGGCAGGATTTTATTCTCATTATCAGGGGGCAAACTCGACTCTTCTTGCTTAAAAATGGGCAATGCAAGGACATCACTGAAATAAAACAAACAACTCATGTTAACATCTGACAGTGGTGCAAAAGTGGATTTATGTTGAAACAATTTAACTGCAATTTGGCTTGGAAAACTATAAACATTACTCACTTTGATGAAGTTTCTTCCCAACCATTCAGTTCAGATTACCTGCTGTGCTATCCCCCCTCACAACAATGTGGGCAATGAAGATATTCACTGCTACAACTGTTTAGACAGGGGTTCCTAAAAGGGCTCTGAGAATCATATGCAGAGTTCCAAAATGTCAGTTTAGGACACTCAGTAATGTATTTGTTCTTCGAAAGGCACCACTGCAGTTATCTCTATAACCATATCAGCTGATCTACTCTAGGGACTAAAACAAGACTCAGAATTCCTAGAAGCCACTTGAAAAGGACAAATCAATGACCAGGATATATTTCAAGGTCAGCTTTCATTCTGTGGAATATAACTAACTAAAAGTGGTGTGTTTCAGTCCCTGAAAGCCTTAGGCAAATCTTAGACAAGCTCTCTAGTCTTCATTCCTTCATTTATAAAATGGGAATCACATTTGCTGTCTAGAGTAAATATGTGAGAAAATATTTTGGAAACCGTAAGGGACTAAAATTGATGTATAGGATTAACAATAATTTTCCCTCATAAACTCCAGCCGTGGCTAGTGGGAAAGAATATCCTGGGCCCTATCCTGGAGACCTACTGTTGTGATCAACATTTGCCCCAAACCAAATTTTAAAAGAATCTTAAGAGATGTACCAAATTAGGGGTGCGTGGGTGGCTGTTGGTTGGGTGTCTGCCTTGGGCTCAGGTCATGATCCCGGAGTTCCAGGATCAAGCCCTGCATTGGGCAACCTGCTTGGCGGGCTCCCTCTCCCTCTGCTCCTACCCCCCCACCCCCCGCTCGTGCTCTCTCTCTCTTTCTCAAATAAATAAATAAAATCTTTAAAAAAAAAAGAGAGAGAGAGAGATGTACCAAATTAAGGAGTATTTCCAATTATCTCAAGACATGCCACAAAATTCTCAAAATAAAATGTATTTTAATTCACTTACAGAATTCATACCTGTATTCACTAGAACTGCTAAAGTTAGAAAGACAACCTAAATGTTGGCAAGGATGCGGAGCAACCAGAACTATTCTTTTCCAGCAGTAGTGTAAAATAACACAGCCAATTTAGAAAAAGGTTTGACTGTTTCTTTTTTTTTTTTTTAAAGATTTTATTTATTTATCTGACAGGGAGAGACACAGTGAGAGAGGGAACACAAGCAGGGGAGTGGGAGAGGGAGAAGCAGGCTTCCCACGGAGCAGAGAGCCCAAAGTGGGGCTTGATCCCAGGACCCTAGAACCATAACCCGAGCCAAAGGCAGACGCCTAACCGACTGAGCCACCCAGGTGCCCCTAAAATTTATCATTTTAACCATTTTTAAGTGTGCATTTCAGTGGCATTAAGTACTTTTACAATGTTGTACAACCATCACCACTATCTAGTTCTAGAAGTTTTTCTTCACTCCAAAAGGAAACTGCCCAACAAGCAGTTATTCCTCATTCTCCCCTCTTCTTCAACCCCTGGCAACCACCATCCATTTTCTGTTTCTGTGAATTTGTCTAGTCAGAAGAGTTCACATGAACGGAGTCATACAATGTGTGGTCTTTTGTGACAGGTTTTGTTCACTTAGCATTGCGTTGTTTTTTTTTTTAAAGATTTTATTTATTTATTTGACACAGAGAGAGACACAGCGAGAAAGAGAGCACAAGCAGGGGGAGTGGGAGAGGGAGAAGCAGGCTTCCCATCGAGCAGGGAGCTGGATGTGGGACTCGACCCCAGGACCCCGGGATCATGACCTGAGCCGAAGGCAGACGCTTAACGACTGAGCCACCCAGGCGCCTCCAGGTTTGACTGTTTCTTATAAAATTAAGTATCTATCTGCCCTTTGGTCCAGCAATTCTACTCATAGGTATTTATCCAAGAGAAACGAAAATAGAAGTCCACTCAAGGCTGTACATAAATGCCCCAGCATAAAAGCAAAAATTGGAAAGAATCCAAGTGTTTGTAACTAAGAGGACTGGATGCACAAGCTGTAGTACAGGATGGAATACCAGTCAGCGAAACGAAGGAGTGCAACAACGTGGATGCATCTCACAGACGTAATACTGAGCAAAAGAAGCTAGATAAAAAGCATATATAATGTACGATTCCATTTATATGGTGTTCTAAAACAGGCAAAGCTAAGGAGAACAGTGGTTTCCTGGCAGGGCAGAGATTGACTTGGAAGATATAAAAGGGAACTTTCTGGGGAGATAAAAATGTTCTATAGAACGCTCAGTGTGTGGGTTACATGGCAATTCTTTATATGCACCTCAGCAGTACACATTCTCCCCAAATAGTACAGAATCATTACATTCAGGCAAAAACAACCATTGAGAGAAAAATGGCCGAACTCCTATAAATCTTAGAGACATTATCAATTCTTATTGGAAAACAAAATAAGCAGAAAATGTTCTGATTATTGTCCTAACAATCCACATAGGAGTAATAAAAATTTAATGGCATAAATGCTTTAAAAAAAAGGGGGGGGTGGCAGAGGGAAGAGACAAGAAAGAAATTTCTCTTTCTGCTGTTGTCTAAATAGCAAGGCTATATGTTATTAGTTGAATCCTGGCACCTGAAATGCAAACCAGTTTTTATGAAACACAAGTTTCTTGATGCTAAAAGGTATTTCAAAGGCTAGAAAAACAAAAGGTGCTTTCTTCTCCCTGAGGCCTTGAGGTATGTGTGCTTTGCTCAAAGGGTTGGGGTTGAGTGGAGGTGAAGAATCCTTCTTTCTGTCTATATTAATGTCATGTGAAACATACTACTGATCCCTTGAGACTATATAAAACTGTAGAAGCACTGGGTTTTCTAGAAAAGTACTCCAACCCAGTTCTTCCACTTCTCAAAATCAGGAAGCTACCAATGCTCCCACAACAAATAGTACAGAAAATAAAGCAAAACACTACAAAACTTCAGAAACATGATGCTAGTCTTTGGGAAACTTTGTTGCCTTATCATTCTCAACAAGTATCTCAATACATATCATTCTCAAATATACCACATCTGATGATTCCTTGAAAGATTAGTGAAGATTATCAGGAATCAAGGTGAATCGGATTTTGAAACATAGCAACAGCTCAATCTTTTAGAATGTAGAGTGGCTTTTTTTCCTTCTCAAATATTACTGGCTAGCAAGGTTAATACATAGCAATAGTCCCTAGTCTTCTCAATATAATGTGGCTTTACACCTAATCCCTCATAACTAAGCAATTTGATGCTGAAACTTTAAAACTAATTCTAAAAATTACCCCTAAAATTAACTAATTCAAAACAGCCAAACTAAATACACAAAACTATATTTTCTCATCAGAGATTTTAAGATCCAAAAACGTCAAATATATTTGAATTACTCATGTTCTTGCTACAGTGCATTTCTTTTACTCTGCTGTGGGAGCAAGAGTACCATTCAGTTCCACATTCCTAGAGATGGAGGCTAAAGGTCACTGGTGAGCACAGTTCTAGAACCCTGTCTATAGCAAAACAGTAACAGATTAAGTAAGCAACAATTTTGGAAATACAAAAGTCTGCTCCTTCTCAGAGGTAAACTGAGCATTGATCAGGAAAACCCACTCTGAGTGGTGGGGCCTACGTAGTTGGTACCAATGTACAATTTAGCATTTTATTACATTCTCCAATTGCTTCATGTATTTTTTTTTTTTTTAAGTAATCTCTACACCCAATGTGGGGCTTGAACTCATGACCCTGAGATCAAGAGTTGCATGCTCCACTGACTGAGCCAGCCAGGGGCCCCTACTTCATGTATTTAATTCATTCCAATGAAACATAAGCTATTTGAAGGAGTAACTTCTCTTTTCTGTGCTTAGTATTTGTTGATGTGATTTATATTTTTGTTTGCATTTTCCAGAATACTCAGCACTAGTACATTGTGATCATTTTGGAATGTGACATCTGATCAAATATAAGAATACAGAAATCTGGGCACCTGGGTGGCTCAGTTGGTTAAGCGACTGCCTTCGGCTCAGGTCATGATCCTGGAGTCCCTGGATCGGGTCCCGCATCGGGCTCCCTGCTCGGCAGGGAGTCTGCTTCTCCCTCTGACCCTCCCCCCTCTCATGTGCTCGCTCTCATTCTCTCTCAGATAAAAAAAAAAAAAAAGAATACAGAAATCTCACCTGATAAAAAGATAAGTTGAGTATGCGTTAAAAATGTGCATTGCTAAGTGGAAATTCACACCAAGAGTGGAAACAGCAGAAAGCATCTAAATGGAAGTAACAGAGGAACAGAAGCATGATCAAGAATTCTTTCTTGGGCGCCTGGGTGGCTCAGTTGGTTGAGCGACTGCCTTCGGCTCAGGTCATGATCCTGGGGTCCCGGGATCGAGTCCCGCATCGGGCTCCCTGCTCGGCGGGGAGTCTGCTTCTCCCTCTCCCACTCCCCCTGCTTGTGTTCCCTCTCTCGCTGTGTCTTTCTCTGTCAAATAAATAAATAAAATCTTAAAAAAAAAAAAAAAAAGAATTCTTTCTTATATCTAACTGGGATTCCATGAAGAGCTGCTTCATGGTCTCCTGAGGCACAAACTACTCTTTTGAGATAAGGCAACCTCTGAACGGTCTGTAGGCAACCTATGAATGGTCTGTAGGTATTCAGGACTATGGTTTATTTAACCTTCTCCCTCAGGCCTACCATCTGTTGAATGCCCTCTTCTAGAGAGCCTAAGAAGGGAGAGGGAAAGGTTTGATGAGCTCTACCTTGAGTAAGAGAAGCAAGTAGACAAGTTGTCCATAGCACCAAAGAAAATTAGAAACTAACTTGGTTTATATGAGGTCCTAAGCTTCTAACTTCCTTACTTATGCCCTCATTTAGACTCCATCATGATGAAAACATCTGAAACAAAACATGGCAATACCCCTATGTCAGTCCCAGTGTGAAAGAGCAAGAACTAGAGAGGCTACATTCTACTCTGAGGTCAGCTTCAAAAAAAATAAATAAATCCAGTAAATAACTAGTCAGAAAACCTTAAAGAAGAGGGGAAAGCAGACTGATTTCCCAGATTTGTGGGAAGGCTGACAGGGCAGATCAGGGAGACCTGGTAAGAAGAGATGGTGCTGCAGGTTTTAACACAAAGCTAGTGAGATTCCTTACTACTGATAAGTAAGGTAAATGGTAAAAGATGGTAAAATAAGAGTACTTTCTGGTGGGCACCCTCTGTCACAGAAAGTAATAAAAAATTTCTACTGTCTGAACAGCTACTGAAAAATCACATTCAACTAAAAAGCAGCATATATTTTAAAAATTGCCTTGCTGGGGTGCCTGGGTGGCTCAGTCAGTTAAGTATCCCACACTTGGTTTCAGCTCTTGGTTTTGTGAGATTGAGCCCCATTATGGGCTCCACACCCTGGGTGTGGAGCCTGCTTGGGATTCTCTTTCTCTCTCTCTCCCTCTGCTGCTCCCTCCCCCCTAAAAAAAAAACTGCCTTGGGGTGCCTGGGTGGCTCAGTTAGTTAAGCAGCTGATTCTTGATTTTGGCTCAGGTCGTGATCTCAGGGTTGTGGGATCAAGCCCCTCATCGGGCTCCACGCTCAGCAGGAATCTGCTTCTCTCCCTCTGCCCCTCCCACCGTTTGCAGTCTCTCTCTCTCTAAAATCAATCAATCAATCAATCTTTTAAAAAAATTGTTTGCTAATTATTCTATCACCAGGAAGGCAGAAGAAATGAGTAGAATTTTAATTCTGAACTGAATTTGACCAAGAAGAAACTGATCAGAAAAGAGGAAGTGGTGGGAGCCTGAAAAGGAAGCAGCCAAGCCAGGTAAGTAAAAAGAACAAAGAACATAGCCAGATGTGGTTCCTAGTCTCTAAGAGAACAGGCTTCAAAAAACAATGACAATAGGACCCAAGCCCATGGCCTGAGATAATAAAAGGGGAGACAACAGGACTGAGGATCTCAAAAATGAAATTTTGCCAATCTCACATTACCTGAGATAGAGGGGAAAGAAGAGGGGAGGTATCTAAAGAGACTAAATGGAAAGCTCACTGTCAGCTCAGAATTAGAAGGACATGCCCAAGAAAAATACATATAAAAGGGGGGCGCCTGGGTGGCTCAGTTGTTAAGCTTCTGCCTTCGGCTCAGGTCATGATCCCAGGGTCCTGGGATAGAGCCCCGCATTGAGCCCCGCATCGGGCTCCCTGCTCTGCGGGAAGCCTGCTTCTCCCTCTGCCACTCCCCCTGCTTGGGTTCCCTCTCTCGCTGTCTCTCTGTCAAATAAATAAAACTATAAAAAAAAGAAAAATACATATAAAAAGAAAGAAACTATTAAAAAAAAAAAGTGGCGGGCGCCTGGGTGGCTCAGTTGGTTAAGCAACTGCCTTCGGCTCAGGTCATGATCCTGGAGTCCCGGGATCGAGTCCCGCATCGGGCTCCCTGCTCGGCAGGGAGTCTGCTTCTCCCTCTGACCCTCCCCCATCTCATGCTCTCTCTATCTCATTCTCTCTCTCAAATAAATAAATAAAATCTTAAAAAAAAAAAACGTATAAAAAAAAAAGTGGCACTGATACATATATAAGCAGCTTGAGGTGAAACCCAGAATGTGCTGAGACTTACAAAAAGTATAAAGAAGACGCAGGTCCACTCTTTGATGTAAATAGTGTATTACTGATTAAAACACTAACATATTAGGGGCACCTGGGTAGCTCAGTTGGTTAGGCGACTGCCTTTGGCTCGGGTCACGATCCTGGAGTCCCGGGATCGAGTCCCGCATCAGGCTTCCCGCTCGGCGGGGAGTCTGCTTCTCCTTCTAACCCTTGCCCCTCTCATGCTCTCTCTCATTCTCTCTCTCAAATAAATAAATAAATAAAATCTTTTAAAAAATTAACATATTAATTATGAGTATTTGGCAGGAACACAGGAATCACTAGGAGCCATAACCAAACTAATTCATTTTCCTATTTTTAACACAGTATGACCAGGGAATGCTGTAAAGATAAATACTTCTGGATTTTCAAGGTGAAAAATACGAATTTTGTAATAGTTAAGTGGCTTCATAGATCACTATATAAACCATACCTAAAGAGTACAGGTAAGTCTAGAAGGTTTAGTAGTATGTCACAGGACCCCAGAGAAACCTGTCCTCTGCAACATTTTTTTAAAATGATTTGTGGGGAGCCTGGGTGGCTCAGTTGGTTAAGCGTCTGCCTTCAGCTCAGGTCATGATCCCAGGGTCCTGGGATCAAGCCCCATATCAGGCTCCCTGTTTAGTGGGGAGCCTGCTTCTCCCTCTCCCTTTGCCGCTCCCCCTGCTTGTACTTCTCTGTCTTTCTGTCAAACAAATAAATAAAATCTTTAAAAAACATTTTTTTAAAATGACTTGGATGAGAACACAGAAGAGGATGATGATCAAATATATAAATGATAGGATGAGAAAGCAAATATCCTGTATGATAGAATCAACTTTTAAAGTAATTCTAATTGGCGGGAAGAGGAGGTTAAATCTAACAAGGTAAGATTTAATAAGGATAAATATAATGTCACGCACTTTGAACTAAAAACAGCAAAATGGGCCAATACATGTGAGATAGACTAGGGCTTTAAAAAAAATCTATTTCAATGAGACAAACAGTATAACATGGCTGCCAAAACTGCTGATAGCAGGTTTCATTAGAAACAAAGTCTCATAAGGGAAATGACATACTTCTCTATGCAAATCAGACTACACTTGAGTACTGTGCTTAGTTCTGAGTGTGGAACCTTAAAAAAATGAGGACTTTAAGGGGCACCTGGGTGGCTCAGTCACTTAAGTGTCTGACTCTTGGTTTTGTCTCAGGTCATGATCCTAGGGTTGTGGGATCAAGCCCTGTGTTGAGCTCCACACTTGGCGCGGAACCTGCTTGTACCTCTTCCTCTGCGCTCTCTCTCTCTCATAAATAAAAATAAAATCTTAAAAAAAAAAGAGAGAGAGAGGGCGCCTGGGTGGCTCAGTTGGTTGGGCGACTGCCTTCGGCTCAGGTCATGATCCTGGAGTCCCGGGATCGAGTCCCGCATCGGGCTCCCTGCTCGGCGGGGAGCCTGCTTCTCCCTCTGACCCTCCCCCCTCTCATGTGCTTTCTCTCTTTCATTCTCTCTGTCTCAAATAAATAAATAAAATCTTTAAAAAAAAAAAAAAAAGAGAGAGAGAGGACTTTAAAAATCTAAGAAAAGAATAAGGGAGGGGACCTAGAGTTATGCCATTTTTTTTTTTTAAGATTTTATTTATTCATTTGAGACACAGAGAGAGAGCATGAGCAGGGAGAGAGGGAGAGGGAGAAGCTGGCTCCCCACTGAGCCAGGAGCCCAATGTGGGGCTCGATTCCAGGACTCTGGGATCATGACCTGAGCCGAAGGCAGACGCTTAACCATCTGAGCCACCCAGGCGCCCCTAGAGTCATGCCATTTGAAGAGTAAGTGAAGGAAATGAGGGTGTCTGTCTGAAGCAAAGTCTTGTTAGGTCTGCTCCATAAAGAGATTTAATCATCAGTTCAGGGTTGGACAAGCTGACCTTTAAAAAATGTCCCCCAAATCAATTCTATTATTTTATTATTCTAAAAAGAATAAATGTTTTGAGGCTGTTTGGGTTTTAGAAGCTGCATTGGGATAAGCTTAGGGATCCTACGGATTATTAGAAATACTAATTGGTATACAGTAGCCTCTAGTAGACAGGCAATCTATTTCCCTGTGATTATTGTCCAATGTATATTCTACAGCATCTGCTATAGAAGGTAGCAGCCGAATGATAACTATACAAGCCTATATACTGGCTAGACCAACTGGCTTGTAAATCTGTCTATACAGTTTGGTTTTTTTTAATTTTTTGACCCTTGTGTATTTGCCATGACAAAACAAGGACTAAACGAATCATCATAAAGGCATGGACAACATCTAGGCATGCAAACTCTTCCGTATACCAAATCCAAAAGACTCATCACTAGTTTTCTCTAACACAGACAATTTCTAAAAATTGTACTCTTGGGACACCTGGGTGGCTCAGTCGGTTGAGCGTCTGTCTTTGGCTCAGGTCATGATCCCAGGGTCCTGGGATTGAGCCCTGCATTGGGCTCCTTGCTCAGCGGGGAGCCTGCTTCTCCCTCTCCCTCTGCCTGCCGCTGCCCCTGCTCTTGTTCTGTCAAATAAATAAATAAAACCTTTTTTTTATTTTTTATTTTTTAAAGATTTTATTTATTTATTTGACAGAGAGAGAGAGACAGCTAGAGAGGGAACACAAGCAGGG